ACCCCTCTCGCATCGTTACAACCACCACAACGACAACCTTCTCTATGGCCAAGGAAATGGCTCGTTCGGTATGCCAGCGGTTTGTTGATGCCCGGTTCATTGAATCCGTTGATGGAAAATATTCGCATACTTTTCCGTTGAAGGGTGCTGTGTATCAGCTTACCCCCAAGGGCATCAACATCCTGCAAAGATTTTGCCAAAGAAACGGTATCACAGCGCGCCACGTAATTGATGTTCTAGAGTCGCCCCGTAACACAATGCAATTGGTTAACTTGGAACGTGATACCGAAACCGACAAGCTTTCCCATGATCGAGCGACAATTGAGGTTATTTTCCGCCGATTTGCAGGACAGGATGGACCCAACGTGAAAAGCAGCGTCTCGAGCTCGGATTCTGACTCGCTCAGTGACTACTCGAATGGTTTGGTTGGCGTGAAAATGGCCAGAGAGCGCAAGATTGGTGATAAAATGTTCTCCAACACATTCACAGGAAAGGGCGCTGTTGACTGGTTGATGGACTGCTCGACAACAATTGAGCCCCGAGAAACAGTCTTGATTGCGGAGCTTTTCGTCAAGTATGGTCTGATGACGGTACTACAAGAGGACCGTTCTATCCCTCAGATGGAGAACTCCCTGGTTGCCTTTCAACCATCCAAAAATGCGATCTACAGTATCACTGACCGTGGCCAACGAGTTTGCGGATGGATTGCGCGCGACAGCAAGATTCGCGAGGCACCTTATGACAGCCGTGGAATCCCAAGAGATTCTAATAATGCGCGCCTGAACCATATTTTGCAAGATCCTGCTTTGCGCCTGCTGTTCCGAGAATTTCTCCGCTTTTCGCTATGTGAAGAGAACCTCTCTTTCTATATTGATGTCTCTGAATTCACTTCCCAGTACCATAAATATGAAAAGGTGGGCCACTTCAAGAAACCTGATGCTGTACGGGAAACGCTGGCGGCGGCATACGGTAAGTCATCTCTTGTAGACGCTTGTTGAGCTCACTAACTGACTCTCCTGAAGGACTCTACAATGCCTTTTTGGCACCCGGCTCTCCCTGCGAGCTCAACATTGACCACGCGCTCCGAAATAGTTTAGCTAGCCGCATGACGAAAGCAGTGGGAGATGACGATTCAATGTTCAAGAGCCTTCAAGAAGTGGTGCAGCTATTTGAGATGGCACAGACATCGGTATTCAAGTTAATGTCAAGTGTAAGTTGCATTTGTTCCTGAATTTTCCTCTCAGGGTTGGTGATTAACATACAAAACAGGATTCTGTCCCTAAATTCTTGCGCGACCCGAAATACTCTGCGATTCTCCAGGAGCACGATGTGGATGATTTAATTGGTAGCGGTTCAAGATCTTACTCGCCTACACCTGCGCCCCTTCCGGAACGATCGATGAGCCGTTCAGCACGTTCATGACAAGACGAACGTGGTGGCTACACCCGTTCTATTCGATCAGTCGACTTTACTTTCTAGGCACGAGTCCGTTCCACACCATACGTTTTAATCTCTCTTCATCCCACGCCTGTGACATGAACGTTCTCGCATTATTTCCTTATATATACTTGACACTCGACACACGATACCGATTCCCACCGGCGACCTGATTTTGCGAGCCATCACGAGATATGAAAGATGATATGATCTAAGGATCATCTTGATAGAAACGTCCCTTGCCGAGATTTTGTGAAGATTTTACGTCTCGTTTCTCTTTCTCTGCACCACTTCCGATCTTCCGGCGTGGATTCCATCCGTTGGAGATAGAAGACCCCCGGGAAGAACGCTTTAAACATAATTGTTGAGCAGCATTAGAGTGGCGTTTATCTTCTTCCAATTTCCTTTCTTATTTTCCATATTTCTCTTTTTTTATACATGCATGAGTTCAAGACATCTCCCGTTTATTTCATATTCCTTTTTATTTTATTTTCTTTTCATTGTGTCCCGGACATTTGATATGTAAATGCCACCGCCATCTGTCCTGCATCGAGCATCATCAATTCTTGCATGCATCTACCTGGTTTCGCATTTTCAAGGGTTCAGCGATGTGCCTGCCTGTCTGTGTACGGCGGTTTCCTTTTAGTATTCTCTTCTTTTCCTTGTCTGCTACTTCCTGTAAACATACATGGTGTGACTCACATACAAAAAATGCAATCGAAAAAAAATCGGGAAACATATGGTCTTGGCTTAATGTATTACCGTAGTTGGTACTCCCCGGTAGGTTCGATATACCTGTTTCTGGAGATCCTGGCCTAAGGTTTGTGCTTTCATACAAGAGGTGCAAATTCTAAGTATCCCCCACATTAGGCTTTTTAACATAGAACCTTGGTTTGAAAACAAGAAAGGGTCTTTATATTCTTTTTTTTTCGTTCAATGACATAAGTTTCTACCTGGTCCGTACTATTGCCCCAAAAAAAGATAAGCTAGGAGGGATAAAAAGACATAAGAAGAATTGGTAAAATGCAGAGAAAATGGAGGAGAAACGCCGGTTATCCAAACGCCATGTACAAGCGAAGTAAGTCCAGTGGAGTGAACGAGGAAGGGGGAAGAAGAGGACGACGAAGTGCCAGAAGGACGGCGGAGGAAATTGTTCTAGAGTCTACTTAGACCCCCAGCCGCGTAACTTCATGCCTTCCTCGATAGCAGTCCAGATTCCTTCGACGACTTCGCGGTCCCGCCAGCGTCCTGCACCGTTGACGCCACCTTTCTCGTCCCAACGTTCAACGGAGAAGCTGTGGACACCGCGGCCCCAGCCTCGGACTTCGCGGGGGATATCTTCTCCGCGCCAGCCGACGTAGATGCCTGAGGCGTGTTTGAAAAGTTCCGGCGGTGACGACCACTTGTATGACTTGAATTGCCAGGTCTGGCCGGTGGTGAAGACGGCGACCAGTCGCTGCCAGTAATCGGGTTTGAAGTTGGCGGTACTATCGACGAGGATAAAGCGGGTGGGTTTCCGGGATTGGCTTTGCGAGCCGACGGCGCGGGACGAGGAGGACGAATTGGAGATCCCTAACGGACGGTGAATATATAAGATGTTGCTGGAGGCACTGGGCATCGCGAGTGTGGGGTGATCGGGAGGGACGAAGACTCCGTCGCCGAGGAACGACCGGACGTTTGACATGCGGATGAGGGAAGAGGCGGAAGGGGAGAGGAGAATGATAGGGTCCTGAGTTTTTGAGCTGCCCTTGCGAGGTTGAGAGAGACCTGCTGATGGTGCTGGAACCATGGCATGTGGCTTGGCTCCGGGCTTTGCGCCTGGGGGGTATTGACTTGTCCGTGATCGATTGCGTCCGAGGAAGGTTTCGGCGACTTTGCGAACATGCGAAAAGTCCTGCGTCATTCCATGTTAGAACCCAGGGGCAAAAAAAAATACCAGGTCCATGGGGCTCTCAGCTTACCGACTGCTTAATCCCTCGTAGAACACTGTTGCGATCTCCCAGTTTTCGCTCCCCATTGTAGATTTCTTGAAGTCTAGGATCGATGACCTTCCCAGCCTTCCCAGCTGAAGCTCCTGTGGTGGGTGCACCACTAGGAGCAGTAGATACACCTGTTGCACCAGAGGCAACGTTTGTGGATGCCTGAGCTTGGGCCGCCGATGAGGGAGCACCTGCAACTCCCTCAAGTGGCTTAATATATTCACTGTCGTCCGAAGCGCCCTCCAGCCATGTAATCAAATCCAAGCGCTCAACGAACGACAAATTCTGCGCCTTTTCTTCTGGAGCTCCCTCGCCGCTTTCCTTCTGTTTCAGCGCCTCATTCAGCTCCTGTACCGAGGTGATGTATTCGGGAATCGCAACATCTTTTTTCTGATACGCGAAGAAGATACCGCGGAGGTCGACAGGGGAGTCGGACGAGATGAAACGAGTCGGCGTGTTTAGCGCGAGTGACTGAGGTAGTGGATGTTGAAAGTACAAATGGGTTGCTTTAGCCAGGTCTTCAGTTGCATTATCGGTTGAGAGCTCGGAGGATGTCGTCGCAGTGGGCAAGCTGCCAGCTGCAATGGCGCGACGGAGGGCCAGTAGGGGGTCCTGGAGGGAAGGATCGGTAGCCATTGTAGACTGTGAATAAATCAGACACTCCAAATGACCCTCAGGCAAGCCCGTGGGACGGCGGATTCGGAATGGAGGGCTTGGGAGACGTGCAGTGGTGACAATCAGACTCAAGCTTCATTTCGATGAGAGGCAGGGTCACGTGATCTGCCATCAACAACAGTGCGTCTTTCTTCTGTCATTCATTCCAACATCCACCATCCTTTCTTCGATCACAAGTTTTTTTATGTCATTTTTGAGGCTAACATATGAACAGCTTATTCACAGATATAGGAACGAACATGTTATAAGAGTGCAACACTTTTCATCCCCCTATGCTGTATCCGCCTTTGGATCTTGAAACAACCAGAATACAAACACTTTGGATAGAATATTGTGGTTCTAACCCACGGAATATCTTTTTTGGCCATTTTTTGGAATCTATACAACTCAGCTGGACCCTCGTCGATATCCTCCATGTTTTGAACCAAGTATGGATCGCCTATGAAAGGCGTTCAAGTTCGAAGCTTGGTTCGAGGTTGCCAATGGACATCATATGCCATATCGACAAGAGAACAACTGGGAGATTCTTTTCCGTTGCTATGATGAAGAAGTGATAGCCCTGGAACATGCCTGTTTCGAATCGGAGTCTATCCCGTTTCAACGCCTGGACCCGCTGCCTAGGTTGATTTCGTTTCATCCTATATAATAGAATATGCGCCAAGATACATTTGCCCAGCTATCAGCAGCACCGGCTAGATTAATCCATATTATTCAGGTTTCATCCTGGTCAAATGGTGCGATGTCCGTGAATGATGTGACCGAGCCCCGGGTAATAGGAAATTAGGGACACAGAACTAGCAATATGGCATGGGATATAAATTGGGATAGCTGACCAAGTGCTACGATTGAAAATATCAACTCTGATCTGCTCTTCAAACCTACCAGTCTGTTGATATCCTTGAGCAAGCCATGTCGCGACTTCTCCTCGTAGCCGCTTTCGCCTCTTATGTGGTCGGCCACGGCCATATATCTAATATTATAGTCAACGGCGTCTCATATCAAGGATGGGATATCAGTTCCTTTCCGTACATGGAAGATGTACCTTTGGTCGCCGCCTGGGGCACGCCTAATACTGGAGGAGGGTTCCCGACTGATGGGTACAGCGCCCCCGACATCATTTGCCATCTTAACGCGACAAATGGTGAGGGATCAATCCCAGTTGCGGCAGGTGACAGCATCAATCTCCAATGGACGGAGTGGCCCGAAACACACCACGGGCCTGTTCTGGATTACCTTGCAAACTGCGGCTCCAGCTGCCAGACGGTCGACAAGACAACATTGGAATTCTTCAAGATCTCGGAAGTTGGATTGGTGGACGATTCCTCCGTCCCTGGACTTTGGGGCACAGACGATCTCATTGAGAACAACAGCGCATGGCTCGTCCAAATCCCTGAGGACATTGCTCCGGGAAATTATGTCCTGCGCCACGAGCTGATTGCACTCCAGGGTGCGCACACCGAAAACGGGGCTCAGAACTACATGCAGTGCATTAATCTGCAAATCACGGGGAGTGGATCGACCCAGCCAGATGGCGTTCTCGGCACGGAGCTGTATACTTCCACGGATCCTGGTATCTTGGTTGATATCTTCAAGTCCCTGACTTATACCATCCCCGGGCCGAGTTTGATCCCTGGTGCTACTGCGGTTGCCCAGTCGACTTCTGCCATTACTTCGACCGGAACTGCGATCGTTCCCAGTGCCACAGTTTCTTAGAGAGTTAAGAGATGCGCTGCTCTTGCGTGCCTGGTTCTGGAAAATTGGTCTGTTGTCTTCAACTCACTGTATATATTGTGCATATTCCGCCGGGCCTATTATCTTTTCGGAGGGAATTTAGCCTAAATTGAAAAGTATCTAAGGCATTTGGAGATCTCGATGTTGAGTTGGCTCTAGTCATCAGTAGCGATATAAAATGCCCGCGCCGTGGTCTCTTTACTTAGGAACCTCGGCACAACGTTCCCCTCCACAAGCAGCTACCTGTAAACCAAGCTCACACACGCCTTTATGGAATTATCAACTATAAAGCCCAAGAGGCAAATTCACACTAATAAAATAAAGCGTGGGCGGCCCCAGAAATGTGGACTCAGCGTCCAAGAGTCTAAGAAAGATATGAGCGTCACAACCTCGGCAATTCAAATGAATAAGACCAACAACTCTCACTTCCCCGACATCTGAATCCAACTTTCCAACGTCCTCTTTCAGTCCTTCGTGTTTGAACCAGTCCCAAATATCGACAGGAATATTCAAAGGAGAATAAATAAATATGGCAAGCCCAATAGCTGGCGTCGTCCTCCCCGACAGGCCCCTGACCAAATTCGAAGAGCACGTATACAGTCTCGCGCAACAGTTCGCAACGAGAACAGATGGAGAAGATGTAAGCCTACCTACCCCCCTTACTCTAAATCCAATCCTCTACATTACCCTTCATCCAAATGCAGAAAATTATAACTAACAAACACCACAGCGCTGGGGCATCGACAGCGCCGCCCTAAACCTAACATTCCACTCCGCATCCCCAGAACCAGACGCCGAAATCATCTTCCTGATGACCATCGCCCCCAAGCACTGCAACTACCTCGGAAACCTGCATGGCGGGTGTGCAGCGACGCTTATCGACACGCTCTCGTCCATGATCCTGCTTGGGGTGTCGAAGCCAGGCTTTTTCCAGCTGGGAGGGGTCAGTCGGCATTTGGATGTGACATACCTGCGACCTGTGCCGGCGGGGACGCAGGTGAAGCTGGTCTCGAGGGTGGTGAATATTGGGAAGAGGTTGGCTCTTCTGAGGTCGGAGATTGTGAGGGTTGATACCGGGGCTGTTTGTATGGTTTCGGATCATGAGAAGGCGAATACGGATCCGGAAGTTAAGTTATAGATATATAGATTGCCTTTGATCTATGATATCCATGATAGAGTTGTGCGCTTCTTATGATACCTTATTTGGAATGTGACTATTGTTGATGAGCTGAGTCGACCGATTGTATGGCTAGGTCTATCTTTCTTTCCCTCTTTTGTTTTGGCACTCTTCTCCATTGCGATGGTGAGGTTGACCAGCTCTACTTGACACAACTGCCCAAGCGGCAAAGAGCGTACGGTACTAAACACGAGACGGACTGAACAAAAAGAACGAAAGATGGAGGTTATTATTGCTCAATTCAAAAGCATCAAAACGACAGTATATTAGTCCCTTTAACATGGTGTCGAAGTATCTACTCCTCCGCAAGCGTCTGACCTTCCCGGAGCCCTTCAACGACAAGCTCTTCACCGGCCGCACGTTGGTAAAGGTCCCGCACATCATCTATTCAAGTTAGCATCTGCCATTTCTTGTCCCATGTGCTAGGTGGTTTGAGCGATAAACTTACCGGTTGTGGTCTCGAAGTGGGATGTGGCGTCGTAGCTCTTGGAGATGTAGATGTTGTCTTTCCGGCCATCCTCAAGAGGAGTGTAGAGAGGGATGGGGGGTCCAAAGAACTTCTCTTCAATTTCACCAAGGCGCTCAAACCCTGGCTGCAGCTCCAGGTGGTGGTTGGCATCCGTCTCGGCGATTGTGGAGACGATGGCAATGTAGTACCCCTTGGGGCAGACGTTGTGCGCTGATGAGACCACGGCAATGTAAATGTCACGCTTGCGCCCAACCTGAGACTGGGGGATAATCAGCTGAAGAGAGTCGCTGCCGTCAGTCTTATCTATGGGGTGCTTCAGAATGCAAATTGCCTTCAGCAGGTAGCCAGTGACGGAGACCTTGCCGGGGAAGTAGGAGGGGTCTGCAATGATTTTCTTTGTCTTGGTTTCGAACTTCATGGCGGCTCCGTTGTCCTCACGGTCATTCATCGTAGCCTTGATGCCCGAGACCTTGCCGCTGTCATCGTAGAGAACCTCATCGATATCGGTGTTAAGCATGTAGGTACCTCCGTAGATGGCGGAAAGGCGAGCGAAGCCCTGGGGAAGCTCTCCCAGACCATATAGAGGATAGATGTATGGAGACTTTCCATACCGGGCCATCGAGTTCACATACAGGCGGATACGGTCGATAGCATCGGTGGCAGTTCCGGGGGTGTTGATGTAATCGTCAGTCTGGAAAAGAGCCATGGAGTGGCCGACAAAGTCGCGAGTGTTGTCCTCCAGCGAAAACTTGTCGTAGACATCCTTCATTGTGCATGTAGCGATGTTCAAGCCTGGGCCGTGTTAGCGGTTTCAAGTTGATAAGTCCGCGAGGATGCATGCACACCTTGGTGGGTAGCTGGGTCTTCAGGCTTGAATTCACCAACCCATTCCAGGAACTTCTTAGCGCGGCGCTTCTCGAACATTCCCATGAGAGATGAGCGCAGAGCTTCACCTGCATCGGAAGGCACCTTGGCCACAGTGGCCTTGGGACCCTTTCCTTGTTGGACGTAGCTACCGGCGATCTGCTTGAACTCGAGGTATCTCGTAACGTCGGTAGAAACCAGAATGTTCGTCAACTCGCCATTGGCCATCAACAGCTTAGGTACCAGATCGACGTTCCAGTCGTTAACGCGGCCATACTTCTTCCAGGGCTCCTCGCCGGCGGGGACATTGCCGTATTTCTTGAAGAGCTATCGTAAAACAGGATGTTAGCGACGGACGAAATTTAAAAGACCCGTTATATCTGTCTACTTACAGTTTCAATGTTCACAGAGGCAGCCTCACTGCGATGGTGTTAGTGGGTGGATGTTTTGCCCAGAGAGCTCGAAGCCTGGAAGCGGGGTTGCCAACTCACCCTCCGTAGTGATCATTGCGATCGATATGGAGCACCTTGTTGCCCTTGACACTGAGAACTCTGTACGTAATACAGGGTTAATTGGTTTCCATGGAAGGATAACGAGGGAACCCTACCCAGAAAGGACACACTCCGTCAGGCCTGAAGGAGGGGTGTTGTGAGCTCTGGCGTCAAACAGCGGGGTAGATCAGATGGTACATACCGGTGCCGAGGACGACAACATCGTATTCGGGGGAGATATCATCCATCGTGAAGGGTGAATCTGGGAGAAATAAATGAAATCGAAAATATCAAACAAATCGCGGTTGTCAAGAAGAGGGGACAGCAGTGGGAGGATGCGGAGAGGAAGTGGTGCATGGAGCTTGTAGTTAGCGGTGAAGGTGGAAAGGAGTCGGCGACAGCTCCAGACTAGCGGGAGTGGCCCAGGCTAACACTCCAACTATACCGGGATCATCCATCATCCTCCTGAGCAGCAGCACCCCTCCAGGGGTATGCTTGTCATATTATTTGGCTCGATATCCACTCGAGCTCCTGTCTCCTCAACTCTCCTGGAAATAGTGCACGATCTATTGGACCAGTAACATTACTGGTGCGATCCATCTCCCATTCAGGCACAGTTACAACTCCTGAGTCCTCCCCCTTTTCCATATTCAAATCACTTTCACTTACCTAACTCTGTAATTTGGCTGAACCAAGCGGACAATGCCGAAATTGAATGAGTATTGACTGTCGCAGAGGCCAAAGAACGATGGCCGAGCAAAGGTATTTATCGGGACCAGACAATGGCCCACCAAAAACATCAGAACAATAGCAATCAACAAAACTGCAAAGAACTTAATACGCTTCGATAGAAAAGGACAGTACAGCAAACTCCTTTCTTGCGCTTGTATGGCGTTGTTCAGGCTTTGCGATTCACGCTATATGTTTACCGTGCTTGCCACTGTTTCCAAAGGCAGAGATCAAGTCTCGGCATACTCCCGGAAATACAGACAGAGCCCCGGCTAGTTTAGCTTCAACAAAATGACTTGCTATACTTCACAAGACATGTGTGTCGATTGTAGAGCTCACTATGCCACCCTCTGCCGTGAGGCCCCCGAAAATGAAACAGGAGCATGCTACGAACGTTTGAAGACTTCATATCCTGTGGTCTTTACGGAATACTGTCGGGGCACTCAAAATGCCAACGACAGGATCCTAGAACTGCCACAAAAAGTGAGAGACCACCTATACGAAGTACTAGGACAATGGGTCCCTATTTATGCCGACATTCGGAGGTATAAATTCCAAACACCGGGGGAGCCTGGTGCCTTTTGGATTAGTATACTAGTCGACTTACCCCTCGGGTTCCGGATGGATTGGGACATGAAGGCCTATACTCTTGGGAATCTCGATCTGTCTTCGATTAACTGTCAACAGGATGACCAAGTTCCTGTTGCTTCGGGAAGCTCGGACGAGGATTTATGCCTAGTTCGTCTGGACTGGTACATGAAGAGACTCACCGGGCTTCCTTATGTTGGCAATTTTGGGTTTCGGGCTATCTGATATCCAACTAGGTATGGTTAGTTGTTTGTTTCTGACTTGGACACAATGAAATTGCCTCGCAAAGAACAAGTAGCATAGATTTATTAGCCCCTTTCATTCTTTGTTTCTCCATTTAATCCTTTTGTGACAGTAGAGTATGGTTCTCTTTGACAAGTAATGTATATATGCTTGTGCGTCCCCCAGCTGGTACTTGGACTCGTATAGTCCATTCTCGATTCACAGCTCGTTGACACGACCAATCTAGAATGGATTCCGATTATGATTGCCAACTTAACGGAGAGGTATGTCCACACTGCCAAATGCACATGCTTGAGCTTTTGGCACTTTTTGGATGCACTGATGGGCCCGCGTTGAAGTATCGCAAAGACACCTATCCAGTGGTCTTTAACTGCCAGTTCATATACCGGTACAATGAAATAAACCCAAACGAATACGTCCAAGATCTCCAGCAAAAGGTGTCGGACACCCTTTACAGCCACTTTAATGAGAAGGTCCATGTTTTTAGTTACCACGAAATTGATGAGGTGGACCATGACCCGCCTAGAAAGGTGGGAAGAGCAAAAAACCCAAGTATGTGGATTAGCCTGCTAATTGACTTTCCCAAATATGTCAAAGTTGACAATACCCTGTTCAAGAGCCTCTTTGAAGACCGGACACCTAGCCTGGATGACTGGGAGATGTGCAAGTTTGAGGCTACAGACCACATGAGCTTGGCACGTCTGGAGTGGTTCATGGATAGGGCTGGCTATACTCATGCACATAACTGTGTTGAAGGGGCTTATCAACTGGTTTTGGACATAATGCATCCTCTTAATCAATTATCGTTGGATCGTTAGTTCAGTTACCTTTATGCTTTGTTAATATTGACCTTGTTCATTGTTCTTCCTTTATCACCGTAGCCTCATTGTCTCGGCAGTTTCTTAGTATAAATGCCATGTCCAGCCTCAAGAGGGGAGCAAAAATCAAAGAATATTCACAACAACTTTACTCATACTGCCAAAGTATATCTACTGGCACGAGTTTCAGCCACCTAACCAAGATGGAGTGCACCACATTCGAAACAATGTGCGAAGACTGCCAATACGACTACATGATGCTTGAAGACCAGGGAGAAGCTGGAGATATCCTTGAATATGAACCAGCAACATATCCAATAGTTTTCAAATCCGTGTGGGCATCCGGCAATAATATCACCTTCGCCCTCGAGGAAGATTACGCCCGGAGGCTCTTGACCAACGTGCAGTATCGACTACACGAGCGTTTCAGGAAGCCAGTTTCTGTGGCTTGCAATTACGAGATGTTCCGGCAGCCGAAGGGTCTGTTTGTCTGTGCTAGTTTACTGATTGATTTCCCGTGTGAAGCCTTGCCCGTGGACATCAAGTCGTTTCTGCGAGGGGTGTTGGGCTCGAAACAAGGATCCACTGATTGGACCACGAAAGTTGAAATTGATGATGACTTGAAGGAATATATCCTTGAGGGTGAGGGTGCTGGTATTGAAAATTGGGATGCTTATATTACTTCGAATCAGGACGACTTGTGTTCTGCTCGTTTGCGCTGGTTTACTGACAGGGCAAAAGGTGTCTGTAAATGGCGTATTTTGTTTACAACCTAGCATACTTAGATATAACCGAGATGTATTAACAAGCTGTTGGTATGGTAGACTTGCTCTGTTCCCTAAGTTGTTTGTTAGTTTTGCGTAGGTAATTTGATCAGGCCCTAGTTAGAGAGCTCGTTGGTGGGTTGAGGCATTGTTGGCTGTCATGTCTAGACGCACCATCTTTTGCGCATGTAGTCAAATTGAAATCCGTATAATGGCAGTGCTAGTATTAGGCAGATGATGCGAGAATTCTGATTTCTCTACAAGCCAACTTGCTTGGCTCTTTGGTTAATAATCCACATGTTATCTGGGTACAGATATTTGTTCATAAAATCAACACGCTCGAGCTTATATTCAACAACCACGGAATACTCATATGATAATACTACATGTAAAAAGTACAAAGTCTAGAATGAGACATTCATGAGAACCGGAGACAATCATGCCGACTCCTCGCTATCCTCGTTTTGAGGGCGGTATCCCTTCTCGTAGAGCTTCTGAGCATCCTCCCAAGCATACCACCTCTCACGAAGGACGTGCTTGATACCATTCTGCGTAACACGGACCTACCCAGTGCTGTCAGCTAATAGTTCGAATATGACTTTCCCAGGGTGTAGCCTTACCACTTGAGCCCGCTGTTGAGCTTCCCATTCTCCGTAACCTGCCTTCAGGCGCTTTCTTTCGAGGTTGGAAGTGGCTATGCGATTGTGCTCCTTAACACAGACCCACCACAAAGAGTGGAGGTCCTCCCAGGACTTTTCGCGGAGTTCTTGGATGGACCACGACCGACCTGGCACTTAATGTAAGCATAACTGCACATACACCAATATAAGGGCAAGAAACAAAGACTGGCACTAACCATGCGCGTTGTCATATTCCGGCGTGCTCAGTGCCTGGCGATCCTTGGGGAAGAAGCCCCAAAGTCCATGGTTCGGGGTAGACTCGCGTTTCTCGAGCTTTTCAGGCGAAACAGGCTTGGGCAATGGGTATTTCGATGCGCCCAATCTGAATCTCGGACCAGTCCGGTGTATTGCAGATACAGCGCGGCTTTTGTTCAGGTCGCGACCTTTGCCGGCAGCCGGTGCGGTGGAAGAAAAGTTCGAGCTCTGGACTGACGACCGGTTCAGGGGGAAGTGGAGAGAAGGCGCAAGATACGGCGGTGGTAATTCGGCCAGCGGGAAGGCACCATACTGGCGAGCCAGCCGCATGACGGATTGGCGTTGCATGGTGACCACAACGACAGGCTGATCTGGTCCAACGCAGTTCGGTGTCGGGATCGGATTCTGGGGCTCTGTCGGAGTTGACTTTTCGGCGGCTAAGTCACGTGCCACCCGGCGTACGGTCACACCGTATGCAAGCAGTTGGAGCTACAAATTGAGCTTCAAATTCGATAATAAAACATTAAAGTTATAACATGGAAGATATGAGCCCCCGATAGACTGTAAATGTTTTTATTTTGAGAACAGTTCTTGCGGTAATAGCTGAGACCTGCCCAAGTAAATGATATTCGTCTGGCTTCCTATCTTCGAGCATATAAAAAGGTCATTGCACCTGGAATATTTGAATTCGCATTATTCTTAATGATCCTTATCAAAAACAGCAGATTAACGCCTTGTTAACTGTGTGTTATACTGCAAGAAAGTAGCTTGCGGCTAACCGGTCTGTGCACATGTTCTAAGCGCGCGGGTGTGGCCACTCGCTCCACTTACTTTCCAAAGCCGTCGCGACAAGTGTGGGCAAAGAGACATCCTGGAAACCACTCCAATCTTTGATGCTATCGGTTTTCGGCGAGCGAACTCTGCCTCGATTTTCGAACTTCTAAACATTTTTCATACCGACCGCCTCCATCGGCCGCGAGTTCACCATGAATAGGCCAGGTTCGTCAATTTCGTTTGTTCCCTGCGTCTCCTTTGTCGTCTGGCTCGGTCTCCCACTTCTGCTGCCAGGCTTATGATGCACACACTGTTTGGGAGTGGCTTCATTGTTTTGAGGAGCTTGGTGTGAAGAAAGGTTACTTTCTTGTTTGCCGGCCCCAATTGAAAACCCTCTCATAGATGGACGCCCTGCGTGCGACCGACGCACTTCCCACGTCTTCCCTTGCCAAACACCGCCGACCCCGTTTGATGCAAACGCCCAGCTGCACATTTTTTCCAACGACTCAAAATTCCTTGCTGACCGTCTTCTGATGCACCAGGGCCAGGACCACAACCCCTACGGGCGATGTCAGGGTTCCCCGCACAGCAACAAGCTCAAGCTCGAAATGCGACTTTGGCCTCAACACGCTTGCCCAACGGTAAAATAAGTATGACTACACCGTGATTTGTCCGATTGGCTGTTATGGTTGTCTTGGAAACTGACGCCGGAGGAATAAATTAGGTAGCGGAGCGAACTGGAATTTCAATATGCCCGTCAGTGGGACGCCGGGGATACAGGGTAACCAACAACGTAACATCGGAACAATGGGAACTTTTGCGCAGAGCCTCAGCGGATCTAACCCGGGGACCCCAATTGATTTATCGTGAGTTTTGACATGCCGATGATTCGACGTTTCATCCCGAATATTCTATGGATCATATAGAGCCCGGCACTAATGTCTACTCGCCTTACCCTTTTAGCGACTTCCCCTCATTATCCGGAGCACCGTCGCAGTCGCAGTCGCAGGCGCAGTCGCAGGTGCAGAACCAGGCGCATTTGGTATGGGCGAATGCTAGCCAACGTGGCGTGCAACAAACCCCCGTTCAAAGACAGCAACATCCCACCTCGCAACCCCCATCGCGCGGACCTCAAACGCAAACCCAACTTCCACAGCAACAGAATCAACCATCGCACGATGACGTATTCCCATCCGGCTCTCAGTTTGCCAACCGGTTAGACGATTACAGAAACGGTGGCCAAGGTATCAGTGGACAGTTGGGCGGAGGCGCGCAACCGCAGCCGGGGAATATTGATGAATTTCCTCCGCTTGGCCGGAACGTCCCCGCAGACATCGGTCAAGACCGCAGAAGCTCCCTGATGCAAGGCGCTGGATTCGGGGCATTCAATACCAACCTGCCCTTCGCGGGTGTCAACCAAAGCCAATCAGCTCAAAGTCGGAATTTGATGGCGAGTGCGATTAGCGGGCAAGAACGGATAACGTCACCAGTGGCAGCGGGGTCAACAGGTAGGATGCGCGAAAGCCTTGGATGTGGCAGATGAATGCTGACCATGGACTCTAGGGATTTCATCGTCACGGTCGCCAGTTAATCAAACGTCCAACGGTGTACTAGGACAGGAGAAAGACGAGCAAGGCAGCTCCGTGATAGCTGGCCAACAACAATCGATACCAGCGGCACCAGGGCTGAGTCGACCATCACAGGATTCCGGAGCCGAACAACAACCCCTAGCCGAAATGAGCGAAATTGACAAATTCGGGTTGGCGGGTCTCCTTCGGATGATCCATAGTGATAGTGCCGATGTCGCTAGCCTCGCAGTTGGGCAAGATCTAATGACATTGGGGTTAGATCTGAATCAACCAGAGTATGTGTCCACTCAAGCACTCAAATATAGCGTTGAATTAACACCGTCTTCAGGCCACTGCACTCGACTTTCGCTTCTCCATTTGTTGCATCTGTACCGGGTGTGCCGTTGGAACAGGATTTTGCTCTCCCGGGTTGTTATAGTGTGGCAAACGTTCAACCTCTGCAATCAAGAATCCCGAGTTTCAGTGATGAGACCTTATTCTACATCTTCTACAGCATGCCTCGAGATGCCATGCAAGAGGTCGCGGCGGAAGAACTCATGGGCCGCAAATGGCGGTATCACAAGATTGAGCGGTGCTGGTTAACGCGGGATGAAGCGTACCCCGGGCCCGTGGATGTGGAACGAGGAGTCAGTGAGCGGGGAGTCTATCTGTTATGGGACCCTGCCACGTGGAAGAAAGTTAGGGTATGTGCACTCTCCGATTTATTTGGCATTTGACCTTGAGCTTACCTTTTACATACAGCGCGAGTTCATTCTTCGCTACGAGGATTTGGACAACCGGATGGATCCAAGCCGCACGCTTTCGCGAGTCGGCTTCCCGCAGCATGGGTCATGAATGTCTGAGTGGAATGCGATAGGAGTACTAGTAGGGTAGGATCAGCAACGGCGTTTGGTTCACTTCCAATTTCCTTATGGTTATGCGGGTGTTGCCCTGCTTGCTGAGAGACCGGCGTTTCTCTTCTCAACTTATCACGCGGTGAATGGGTAAATATGGTATCTATCGTGACCAAATTAAATGAATTGCATGAACTTGTAACACTTGTCTGTATTATTAATGCAGTGCAATGTGTTACAGGGTTGTCTATCCGACCACCATTCTTCCCCTGTATATTTGCGGCACATAGCATCTCACCTTCGCCTCTTGTAATCGTAAGAAAAGAGTATACTATGGCCTTGTCTCCATCTACAAGCTGATAAACCTGACTACTAAGTTAGTTATATAGCAGCAGCTTAGTCGAGCTGTCTGGTAGAAGCACAGGTCTGATGCGTCTTCTGTTGTCTAACAACGGTAGCAAAGCTATATTTGGGCAATAATCGAATTTCTTTAAAACTTGATGCCTACAAACCTCTTGACAATACATTATGTATCCTTTCTCGGCGTTACAAAGCACCTCACTCACGGCTTCCTCGCAGTAACGACAATGGCAGTTGGACCAAGCGGCACCACCCCATCCACACCAAACTTTTCTTCCAGCCATTGCTTCATCACTTCAGGAACACGCCCCAAGTGTTTCTCACGCTGCTCTTCTGTCCAGAACTTCCCTAAGGCAACAGGTAGGAAACTCCTATTCAGTTCCACGAATTCCGCAATAGGCACTGAAGCGTGGTCCGTTACGGCTGTGACGTTGACGTCCGTGAATCCTACTTCTTCGAGCACGGATTTGACAAGGGATTCGGAGTCCCAGCCTTTGGAAAGGCCTTTTTGGAATTGGTCAACCTCGGGGAGAGGAAGTTCCGATGAGAGGGACTCGAGGGAGGAGAGCGCCATCGCTATTTGGGGGGCTATATTGTTGGGAAAGGGTCAGTTTGTGGACATGATAGCGTAAGGACGAATACGTACTTGTCTTCCAGTTGGTTGATGCGTATGTGCCTCCTGGCTGGAGGACTCGGAGACATTCTATGGGGCGGAATTAGTTTCCAGTTTGGCGCGCACTTGTAATTTCCATCTCCATATGCACATACCTTTCAATGCAGCATCGGCATCAGGAATCATAGGGATTGCTATGTTTTGGAAAGACCACGTTAGTGATTGTTATTGTAACTTTGGGGCCAGTCCCGGCTCTCACCAAAAGCAGTATAGATATGTGTATAATATGAGTTTGGAAGATTCATCTCTTGTGTGTTCACGACTTTCACTTCCGCATTGTGCCATCCTTCCTCTATGGCTCGTTGCTGAGTATGCTCGACCATGGGTTGGGATAAGTCGCCGCAGGTCAGCTCCCAGTCTTTCTTAACCTGGTCACTAAGTGTGCTATTGAGAACACTGGAAATAACGCCTGTGCCACAGGCATTGTCAAGGATAACGGGTCGCTTCCCATAGGATGCAATTCCCGATTGGTTGATCAATGGGCGAGCGAAAAGCCCAGTGAGCTTCTCTGCAAGCCTGTAGCGACTAGCAAAGTCTTTGGATTGGAACATGTTGGAAAATTCACGAGTTGCCATGTTTGTGGTTGGGTCTGAGTGGATGTTGTTATAGATATGGATGGATGTAGTATATATAGGGTAGCGAGCCTGAATGTACGTAGGGAAGGTAATGAATACGGAGTATGCAAAGCTGAGATAGAGGAGAGAGGTTCCAAAGGGGTTTATATGCCTTTTTCAGAGGATAGTCCAAGTTCCATTGTGGGAGACTCATGTTGGCATTGCCATCGTGTCTATTGGTTGGCGTAGCCCTTCCTTTGGAAAGTGTCCGAGAACTCTCCGCAGTCTTTACTTAGTGCTTATCGTTTTCAGCCTTCAGTCTTGCAAAAATGGTCATGTGTATGTTGATAATAAGTGTGAGTCAGTCGTTAAAGCTGAAGAATGGTAGTCAGATATGCGAGCATTCAAGGCAATCGTGGAAACCTCAAGATGCCCAGCTGCAGGTGGTTTTTGCGTATACTCCGTATACTCCCTACTAACTAGTGGCTAATGCGGGCTGAAGTTTGACTTGGCGTGGAGGATTTCCGGGGAGGGGAGTGCTACATATGTAGAATGGGTAGAAATGGGGTATAATTCAGTCCATACACCTGGCCAGCCAAATAACTCAATAGTTCAGGGACGCATTGTCAGGTCGAGCAACAATCTTGGGGCTCTGGCTGCAAGATCCCATCGTTTTCGGAAATAAGAGCACAGGCCATTGCTTGGCAGAAATACCACGTGACTACACGTGATACCCCTCAGGGAGAGGTCTTATCTCAGCAGCGCTAAGTCATAAGCGGTAATGCATAAACACATGATCCCGCCGCCAAAACATCGCCCGCAAAACACCCTCTCCGGATTTCCCTCATATGCATCGGATTCTCAAGTTGACGGGCGTCGTCTGCTTCCGCAACCATGAGGATCACCGAAATTATTATTGACGTGAGCACCCATCTTGATAGATGTTGCAATTTTCATTTTACAATGCGCTAACCCGGAGTCGCAGGGCTTCAAATCGTACGCTGTGCGTACGGTAATCTCAGGATGGTGCGTGCCGCGATCTCCATATAATCTGCTGTCGCGAGGAACATCGATCAATTTATACTGACTTGTGGTCAACAGGGATGAGTCTTTCAACTCCATCACTGGCCTTAACGGTAGTGGTAAATCCAACATTCTCGACGCTATTTGTTTTGTTCTCGGTATTACGAATATGACCACAGTTCGCGCGCAAAACCTCCAAGATCTCATTTACAAGCGTGGTCAAGCCGGTGTGACCAAAGCCAGCGTGACCATTGTTTTCGACAATAGGGATACCTCTAAGTCACCGATCGGTTTCGAGGAATATGCGACCATCTCGGTTACCCGACAGATTGTTCTCGGCGGTACCAGCAAATATCTCATCAACGGCCATCGCGCGCAACAGCAGACTGTGCAGAATTTGTTCCAAAGTGTACAATTAAATATCAACAACCCCAACTTTTTGATTATGCAGGGAAGAATTACAAAGGTTCTGAACATGAAGGCGGTTGAGATCCTGTCGATGATCGAGGAAGCGGCCGGGACGCGGATGTTTGAGGATAGGCGCGAGAAGGCAGGCAAGACGATGGCTAAGAAGGATTTGAAATTGCGCGAGATTGAGGGACTGCTGAAGGAAGAGATTGAGCCCAAACTCGAAAAGCTCAGAGCCGAAAAGCGAGCATTCCTTGATTTCCAACAGACTCAGAATGACTTGGAGCGCCTGACTCGTCTTGTTGTCGCTCATGATTATCTAAGAAGCGGCGACCGACTCCGTGCCTCTGGTGAAGAGTGCGAGAACAAGAAGCGCAAGGTCCAGGCGCTTGAGGACAGCGCGACCAAACTCAAGAGTGAGATTGCGCACATGGAAGATGATGTGAAGCGGGTCAAGGCTGCTCGGGATAAGGAGTTGCGCAAAGGAGGCAAGTTCCAAGCGCTCGAGGACGAGGTGAAGACTCATTCCCATGAAATTGTCCGTTTGACGACAGTGTTCGACCTAAAGAACGCGAGCATTGCCGAAGAAAAGGAGAAGGGAAAAGAGGTCGAGAAGTCTGTCAAGGACCTCGAAAAGACGCTCAAGGATAAGAAGAAGGTCTACGACAAATTACAAGCACAATATGATGCGGCCAAGGCCGAGCTAGATGCTCAAACCGCAGAATTTGAACAGAAGGAAGAACTGCTTCAGACGTTGCAGACCGGTGTCGCCTCCAAAGAAGGTCAAGAGAGCGGTTATCAGGGCCAGTTACAAGACGCGCGAAATCGTGCTAGCAATGCGGCTACCGAGCAAGAACAGGCCAAGCTCAAGATTGCGCACTTGGAGAAGAGGATCAAGGAGGAGGAACCGAGAGCGAAGAAGGCGAAGGAGCAGAATTCCGGGCTCCTGAAAGACCTCGAGGGCCTCAAATCTAAGGCCAAGAAGCTAGAAGCCGAACTCTCAAAACTCGGATACGAGCCTGGACGTGAGGAACAACTTTACCAAGAGCAGAATGGGCTTCACAAAGAGATTCGCGAATTACGCCAGAGGGCTGATGCCCTCCAGAGGAAAGTCGCCAACATTGAGTTCAACTACTCTGACCCCTACCCGAACTTCGACCGATCTAAAGTTAAGGGCCTGGTTGCTCAGCTTTTTACTGTAGACAAAGAAAAGCTGCAGGCTGCCACCGCTTTGGAAATCTGTGCTGGTGGGCGCCTGTATAATGTCGTTGTCGACTCATCTGATACTGGTACCCAGCTTCTTCAGAAAGGAAAACTCCGGAAGAGGGTAACCATCATCCCTCTGAACAAGATTTCCTCCTTCCGTGCTTCTGTCGAGAAAATAGGAGCTGCTCAAAATATCGCCCCAGGGAAGGTCGACTTGGCTTTGTCGCTCATTGGTTATGATGATGAAGTTACTGCAGCCATGAACTATGTCTTTGGTAACACTTTGATTTCCAACGATGCAGATACAGCAAAGCGGGTGACCTTTGATCCTTCTGTTCGTATCAAGAGTGTGACCCTGGATGGTGATGTTTACGACCCGTCTGGTACACTCTCTGGTGGTAGCGCACCCAACTCCAGCGGCATGCTTGTGACCCTGCAAAAGCTCAACGAGATCACAAGGGAGATAAGGAGCAAGGAACGGGTATTGGCAACACTGGAAGAAACAATGAAGAAGGAGAAGAAGAAGCTCGACGCCGTCCGCTCTACTAAGCAGGAGTTGGATCTGAAGAACCACGAGATCAAGCTCACAGAAGAGCAAATTGGCGGCAACTCATCTTCATCGGTAGGTGATTTATTTTTGCGCTCTCTTTTTTGTTTTACACCGCAGTGCTGACCAACCTAGATCATTCAAGCTGTCGAAGAAATGAAAGCGAACATTGAACAGCTGAAGGAAAACATTACTGACGCGAAGGCGCGCCAGAGCGAAGCATCCAAGGATATCAAACGCATCGAGAAGGACATGAACGAGTTCAATGATAACAAAGACAGCAAGCTCGCGGAACTGCAGACTGCCCTGGATACACTCAAGAAGAGTCTAGCTAAGAACTCCAACTCAGTCAAGAACTTGCACAAGGAGCTCCAAAATTCAAGACTCGAGTCAGAGCAGGTCGGAAGCGACCTGTCTGCAGCAGAGGAGCAACTTGCTGAAAGCGAAAACACGCTGAAGGCTCAAATGGAGGAGATCGATTCACTAAAGAGAGAACAAGATCGTATCAAGGTAATTTTGTTCCCACTAACTCAATATTGTTTAAACTAATCCTTAATAGGATGCACATGATGTCGCGCAAGCACAACTCGAGGACGAGAGGGCGAAACTGACAGGTTTCGATGACGAACTCCGCGATCTAGACCAAACAATGCAGTCCAAGAATTCCCAAATCACTGAGGAAGGCTTGGAAATGCAGAAGCTTGGGCACCAGTTGGAGAAACTGCAGAGGGAGCAAATCGTCGCGGAGCAGGCAGTGGCCCACCTGGAAGGGGAGCACGAGTGGATTGCGGACGAAAAGGATAACTTTGGACGTCCGAACACGGCATATGACTTCAAGAACCAGAACATCGCCGAGTGCAAGGCCACGCTGCGCAACGTCACGGAGCGGTTCCAAGGTATGAAGAAGAAGATCAACCCTAAGGTGATGAACATGATCGACAGTGTGGAGAAGAAAGAAGCTGCTCTGAAGAACATGATGAGAACTGTTATCCGCGATAAGAGCAAGATAGAAGAGACCATCATCAACCTCAATGAGTATAAGAAGGAAGCTCTCCACAAGACATGGATCAAAGTCAATGCTGATTTCGGGCAAATCTTTTCGGAGCTTCTGCCTGGCAGTTTCGCGAAGCTGGATCCTCCCGAAGGCAAGGATATCACCGACGGACTCGAAGTTAAGGTATCTTTGGGCAAGGTCTGGAAGCAAAGTTTAACGGAACTGAGTGGTGGCCAACGCTCTCTTATTGCTCTGTCTTTGATCATGGCGCTTCTGCAATTCAAACCCGCCCCAATGTACATTCTTGATGAGGTTGACGCTGCTCTGGATTTGTCTCACACGCAGAACATCGGCCGTTTGATCAAGACGCGATTCAAGGGATCGCAATTCATTGTTGTCTCGCTGAAGGATGGCATGTTCCAGAACGCAAACCGGATTTTCAGGACGAGATTCAGCGAGGGTACCAGTGTTGTACAGGCCCTTACTCCAGCTGACATGAAGTAAACACTTGGTTTCGACGACTACTTGGTTTTTCTTGTTGATATTTCGTTCCTCTCTGTTTGGGCACATGGAATCTTGTTGCGGTCATGGCATAATGGCATCTGGGCTAAATGCTGGTGTTTTTGTGGAAGATTGTTTATGGACGCTCTGAATTAGCATTTGAAAATTTTGTTTTATTTTTAGATTTGATGATCTACGTATAATGATACACTCATTGAATTCACTGGCCGAGGCTGCAGTTGGGGGTTCGAGACAACTACATAAGGTACACCCGTTGATTCCGCCTCCGACCGTCGGTTCGCCGTCATTTATCCTCCGCCATCTCTCCCCGTCTTTTTGCCATCCCCCTCCTCCGTTCTCCAACAATCCTACTCCTCCTCTTGTCCTAAATCCCTCCTTTAATACGATCTCTTATATTTCTTCTTTCTAGCTCTCCAGGGGTGTTTGTCGTCGGCTCCAACGTCATCGCCACCGACAGTTCATGCGACACCGGCAATTATCGGTGCCGGTACTCGAAAGCCCGGTGTCATTCCCATTTCGCCTCACCAGGACCTGCTGCAATTTGGAATACAAATAATAACTTAGCGAGGCTATTTTCGGATTCGTTACCGAGCCCCTAAGTTTACACTGTTATCGCGAACCTGCGAAGTACTCCGCTTACCTATCCGCCACAATGTCTGAAGAGGAGCCATCCCTCAACATCCCCTCACTCCTCACCCTCGCCGTTGTCTCCTTTTTTATGATCCGATGGTTCTTCAAGCGTGACGATGATAGCAGCCCACCTAGCGCTCGAGGCCGCGCCCGAGGAAATGTCGTCGATCCCGCTCAAGTCGAACAAATATCCCAGATGTTCCCTCAACTGAGCACGCGCGAGATCATGTGGGATCTGCAACGGAATGGAGGCAATGTAGCAGCAACAACTGAGCGAGTCCTTTCAGGTCGCGGCTTGGATGCGGTAAGTCTATTTGCGCCGGCCGGGGTGGTTGCCACTCCCGCGCCACTGATCGCGTGCTCCGCGCCGCTCTTAGAGAAAATGATAGCTAACGCGATGAGTGATTTTATATAGCCTCCTCCCTCTTTCCAGCCTCTGGTTGCGATTCCCCCGACCGGCGTACCTCCCGCGCAGCCTGCGCCTTCACCTCCGACCAAATCCGACGGGCAAGACTTGATCTCGAGATATAACCTCTCTGCGAAGGTTTCCGAGGCCAGTGGGTGCGAGTCCCCTGCGAAATCTTCATCGGGTGGCTGGTCGCAGAACAAAGAAGAGCGGCAGCGCATTCTACAGAAGCGGAGGGATGATATGATCCTGGCGGCGAGAAGGAAGATGGAGCAGAAACAGCGAGAGGTTGCTCAATAACGTATCCTGGATTCGCGGATGATTTGATTTATAGAATTCCCCTTGGCGACTGTTCTTTGACTCTTGGCCTCGCTTGACAGCCGGTTACTGGTATGGTATTGTGATTGACCATGCGTGTATTTAACTCCAGAGTTGACTGTTATGTGGAAGCTCCTCGCTCTTCGTTCTTCTCTTCTTTCTGCATCTTTATTATTTTTTTCTTTTTTAATTTCTGATATCCATACTGGACTCTCCAATCTTTTGAATCTACAGCAAAGCGTCGCATGTTCATGGTGTTAGGTTGAATCAAATCGTCTGCGTTTTACAACAGGAAAGATAGGGTATATATACATTTGAAGTTCATCATAGGCAAATATATCGCGGCCTGTATTCCTTTTCCGTAACTCCAAATCGTAAGAGAAGCCAAAAGGTCGTTTTAAGTCATTTTAGAACTCCATATCATCGTCATAGTCCTGCGTGGCGTCATAACCACCATTCGCGGCAGCTTCTGCCATCTGCTCCCGGCGAGCTTGTTCTTTTGAAGCACCAATCCGCCTGAACAAACATTAACAATGTTTCCATAGACAAACGCGGGTAAATATAGGGAAAAAAACTTACCTGAGTCCATCAACTACGCCGCCGATAAATCCCCTCCCTTCACCAATCTCCATGGCCCCAATTCCAGTCAGCGCTATACCACCGCCCGGTCCAGCTGCAAGATCCAAAGCATCTACACCAGACCGAATTTTCGCGGACCGCACCTCTCTCATTTCCTTTAACAGCCTCCTCGTCTGATCCGGATCCACCACATCGTCACTAGCCGCATCCAGCAGCATTGTGCCTACCTCAAGCCAGTGGAACGGCAGCGTCGGCGGCTCCCCATCATCAAATGCTTGATCCTGCGCCACATTCTGCGGCAGAAATGGCGGGGTAGGGTAATAGCGCTGCCCTTCGGGCGTGTAGCGCGGGCGAGGATTCGGCTTCTGGCCGCGGTCTCGGAGACTTGGTTGGCCTGGTAATGGTGGCGGAGGGGAGAATGTGTATTGGTATTTGTGATCGCGAGTTTCAATGTCGAGAATTAGGGAGAGTGACTCTGGAAGTAACCAATGTGGAGGGAGGATGTTCGCGCGGCGTTGGCGTTTTAGGAGGAGCGCGAGCCAGAGGGGAACCGTTGTTCGGCGGGGAGGGATGAGTGGTTCAACTGGGCCCTAGATGTAAAAACGACCATCAGCTGGCCCTATTGTGTAAAGGACATGGGAAGGAACTCACGCCTAAGAGCTTCAGTCCCTCTAATCGCTGGCGAGGGACTATTGTGACCATCTCCATCTCCGCCAGGAACGAGATCTCCGGGGGCGTAATGCCCCGCGGGAGGGGGAAGGCCATCGACCCGTCGGGATGAAATGCAATTGAGGACGGGGAATCGGATCGAGAGGGTCCGCGGTATTCAAGACCAGTGGTCCATAGAAATCTTGATTATGCGAACAGACCGGCTTTGTTGCTGCGAGTAAATGTGGGCGCTGGGATGCGGTGGTTTGCTCTGTTTGCAGCCCGCAGCTTTCCAGAGTATTTCTCCCCGTTAACTGTAGCTCTCTGCCTTCTTCTCAAGCTCTCGACCCCATTCTATGGTCAATTGACAATACAATGAATGCCCAACCCCGCTCGGGTTTGGCTCTGGCAGCTCGCTATGCCGTTCCATTTGGATTGCTGTTGATCCCTGTGTGGATGACACAAGTCAATTCCGTCGTTCCCGAACCATACCTCGACGAAGCATTCCATATTCCCCAAGCTCAGGCATACTGGGCTCATAAATGGGCACAATGGGACCCGAAAATTACCACTCCCCCGGGTCTATATATTTTTTCCTACGCAGCTTGCGCCCTTATCCTGCTTCTACGAGGCTCCCCGACTGAACTTGACCCTCCCGTACTACGCGCATCCAACGCCGTAGCAGCTGCCGTCCTCCTCCCACTGAGACTGCAGACTGCGCTCGATACCCTGCGGAGACAACGGAATACCCGTCCCTCCGGTGCCTGGCTGAGCCATACGGTGCTGAACATCTGCCTTTTCCCGCCCTTGTTTTTCTTCTCGGGCCTGTACTACACTGATGTTTTGGCTCTTCTATTGGTCATCGAAGCCTACAATTGGGATTTAAGACGCACGCGTTCAAGAACCGCACCTCTTGAGACCATAGTGTTTTTGGCCTTTGGAATAGTAGCACTGGCTTTCAGGCAGACCAATATCTTCTGGGTGTCGGTATTCTTCGGTGGACTGCAGGTGGTCCGGAGGCTCCGCAGGGTGACAAATACCTGCGAGTCTACTGATGTGGCTGATATTGTGAGGGCTGGCTCTAAGAATGAACTATATGACCCTATAGTGCTGGACGCTTCGTTTGCAGGTTAGTACCCTTGTAGCATTTCTACTTAGGCTAAAGCTGATGGGGACGCAGACTACTTCAAGACCGCAGCCTCGCTATGCTCGGTTGCATTGCACAACCTATCTTCTGTTGTCATTTCTCTGGTTCCATATCTGCTCGTTCTGACTGCATTTGGGGGATTTGTTCTGTGGAACGGCAGTGTTGTCCTTGGACACAAAGAGTTCCACACAGCTAGCCTACATCTGGCTCAAATGTTGTATCTCTGGCCATACTTCCTCTTTTTCTCATGGCCCCTCCTTTTGGCCCCGATGGCCAATGTCCTGCTTCCAAAATATATGCTCCCGAAGTTCCTCGATCAGGGCTTCCCGGCCACTCGAAGGCAGCTCCCCAAAATCCTGACTGCGTTGATTGTTATCCCAATCATGGCGGCCGTGGTGCATTTCAACACCATTGTTCATCCATTTACCCTTGCGGATAACAGACACTACGTCTTCTACGTCTTTCGTATTCTCCTGCGCTCTCACCCTTACACGAGATACGCTGCCATTGTTATTTACTTCCTTGGTGCATGGATGGTCATATCCGCCATGGGCTATTCACCTGTCAGGGCTTCTGGAGTTGCTCCAGTTGTCAAGAACCAGCCAGTTGCAGCAACACCACCCTCACTGTCCCAGAATCCAGCCCAGAAGGGGCAGCAAAAACCGGAACGCAAACAAAAGGGGTCTAAGAAGTCAGCACCAGCACCAGCAGCTACTCCCGAACCCATCTCCCCCGAAGTCTTGGCTGATCTCCAGCAACATATCTTGCGACGGCAACGACAAGAGCACGAGGCATCCCGTGTGAGCTTTGTTCTCGTGTGGCTGGCAGCGACGGCACTGTCACTTATTACTGCCCCGTTGGTTGAGCCACGATACCTTATTATCCCTTGGGTGATGTGGAGGCTTCACCTGCCGCAGTCCCCAACGCCGGTGATCTACCGTCGCGCGAGTGATGAGAAGGATCTCGAGGCGAGGGTTGCGATTAATTTCCCGCTGTTCCTGGAAACCGCTTGGTTTTTGCTTGTCAACGTGATTACGGGAGCACTTTTCCTCCGCGGCGGATTTGAATGGCCCCAGGAGCCTGGCAAGATCCAGCGCTTCCTATGGTGATATATATATTTAAATGTAATCCCATAGATTGTAATTTTAAACGTTTTAAAGAGTTATATTATACAGTTTGACTGTTTCACATATGCTATCTGTATCGCTCCTTTTTGCTCATCCCGCAGCTTCCCCCCATCACTCTTATCTTATCTCTCCCAAGCACAAGCACCTTTCCTCCAACAACGCCGTCATGGACGACAAGCAGGACCGTCCAGCAAAACGACCCAAGTTATCATCCAATTCAGCCTCAGATCCACCCGAAAACACCCACTCGCCTAGGCTCGCCTCCCTCCACCGCTCCATAACGCCTCCCGCGGCGCGTCCTGGACGTGTCCCGATTTCCCCGCACCAGAACTCGGAGAAAGAGACGGGGAGTACCAATACAAACCAGCCTCAGCTAATCCCGTCTCCGATCCAATTGACTCGTATCAGGGACTTCAGTGACTCGTTGAAAAACAATGAAGACACGGTCAGATTGCGCGATATCTTGGGTGATCCTATGATCCGTGAATGCTGGCAATTCAATTATTTGTTTGATGTGGACTTTCTTATGAGTCAGTTTGATGAGGATGTGAGAGACTTGGTTTCTGTTAAGGTTGTGCATGGGTCGTGGAAGAGTGAGTCGGATAATAAGATACGGATTGATGTGAGTATCTCTTTATTTTGGTGCTTGTCAGCAGTGCAGTTGGAAATTGAGGGTACATTGAATTGAGCATGAATAAGAACTGATAGCGCTTTAGGAAGCATCCAAGCAATATTCAAATGTTGAGCCGATTGTGGCATATATGCCTGAGCCATTTGGGACCCACCATTCGAAGATGATGATCTTGTTGAGACATGATGACTTTGCCCAGTATGATCCTCTCAAAGACCATCGTACTTTGGCCGTGACCAATACTGAGACAATCTAGAGTTATCATCCACACAGCAAATATGATTCCTGGTGATTGGGCGAATATGTGTCAGGCAGTCTGGCGCTCGCCCCTCCTACCTCTCCGGAAGGATGGTGATGACGAGCAGAAATCTACCGCTTGGGGTTCAGGCGATCGATTCAAGCGCGATTTACTTGCCTATTTGAAAGCATATGGTGTGAAGAAGACAGGCCCCTTGACTGAGCAACTTGCGAAGTATGATTTTAGTGCTATTCGAGCTGCGTTAATCGCCAGCGTTCCTTCCAAGCAGAAGATAGGCTCGTCAAGCAATGGGGATGGTAAACCGCTTTGGGGATGGCCCGCTTTGAGAGATGCTCTGCGAAACATTCCGCTGCATGAAGACGGCAGTAATACAACGCCACATATTGTTAGCCAGGTATTATACCCAGATCGTCCAGTTGTGATTTAGGTGCTGATTCTTGGAACACAGATGTCCTCCATCGCGACACTAGGGCAAACGGACAAATGGCTAAAAGATGTTTTCTTCGACGCCCTTGCTCCGTCAAGATCTACGCAAACATCAAAGAAACAACGGCCACAGTTTTCTGTGATGTTTCCAACAGCCGAGGAAATCCGGCGTTCACTCAATGGCTACAGTTCAGGCGGATCGATCCATATGAAGCTACAAAGCGCTGCCCAGCAGAAGCAGTTACAATATCTACGGCCGTACCTAAAACACTGGGCAGGAGATGTGGCTGATAACCTACCCGCGAACATCCAGGACGCCGGTCGTCGTCGTGCAGCACCACATATCAAAACATATATACGCTTTACAGATAGAGAGAGCATGGACGTGATCGACTGGGCACTTGTCACATCGGCTAACCTCTCAACGCAGGCGTGGGGTGCAGCCACCAATGCAAATGGAGAGGTGCGCATCTGTAGTTGGGAGGTTGGGGTGTTGGTATGGCCGGAACTTCATGCCATGGGGTCTCAGTCGCAGTCGGTGGCCATGGTGCCGTGTTTCAAGAAGGACAAGCCAAGTGCTTCTCGGGAGCTCCCAGCTGATGCGGCAGGGTCGACAGCTCTGGTTGGGTTTCGGATTCCGTACGATTTGCCCTTAACTTCGTACAGTGCACAGGATGTTCCGTGGTGTGCAACGGTGTCCCATTCAGAGCCCGACTGGCTCGGGCAAACTTGGGCAGCATAGCGGATTACCCAGTAGAACATCATGGGTAGATCATAGCATAGCATAGTTTCATTCCTTCATCAACTACTTCGTGCCGTTGCGAAACGTCTCATAGATAGCATCAGATAACATGGAAAAAGCCACCATATCCAAAACCAGCCTTCCGGTCTATTCCATATTGTATTATCCAGTATATTCCCCCTTCTTACTGGGTACCGATCGAGTCAATAAGATCGTTGACCTTCTGGATGTACAGAGCCTGAGCCCGTTGCTGGCTGATATGGCTGATTTCCTTCCACGCGTTGTACTTGTACTTGCTCTGTTCACCATCCGTTAATTCACATGCCGATTTTAAGCGGTAACTGGAAAGCAAAAAGGCTAAGAACGCACCTCGATCTGGTAGAAGCTAGGCTGGGCAGGCTCCTCATCCTTCGACCGCTTGAAGAACGCATACAGCTATACGAAATAATCCTGTCAGCGCTTCCATTCTAAAACTATCCGCTGTATCTTTCCAGCCCCCAGGAAATATGGAAAATAAAAGGGACAGTGGTAGCAAGATGTTCCAAACACCCCAACGAACCTTCAACTTATCATCAGTCCCGGGCTCCTTCTGCAGGGCCTTGACGAGCTCCGTCGCGAATTCGAAACCGGACTTGAGGGCACCGCTCTGATCAGCATCAGAGACCGAGGCGTCGTCACCGCCAGCGAGCACGGCATCGACAGCGGCCTTCAGGGCATCGGCGTTGACCTTTCCGGCAGCGGTTTGCACAGCGGCGGAGAACTTCTCCTTGGACTGCGCAGCGGCGAGGGCGGAGTTGAAGGATTCGACGGCCATTTTTGTTGATTAAGATGGATGGGTTGTGAGTTTAGTGTTGGGTACAGAGAAGAAAAGAGCAGAGAAGAGGAGCTGGAGGGATGAAGAGGAAAGTTGCAATGGTGGGGTGTTGTTTTGGTGGGGTAATTTTGTAGCTTCCCTGATATCCGTTGGGGACTTCCAGATGACCTCCACCACCAGGCAGTATGGTACCATCACCTCATCACCGGAACACTGATCAGAATGCTGAGATACACAGCCCGCTCAGACCGCCAAGTCTATGCACGATGTCGTCAACCGTGCTCTCAAGTCTCGACACCTTGACTTGGGGCCTAGGCTTTCAAGTCCATTCTATTCTCCGCTCTTCCGGAGACGAGCATGTTGGAATATCAAATCGAAATGGTTTTTGTATAACATTAAAAGCTCTACCGGCTTATTACTCACTTTATAGTGCGCATCCGGTTTCATATTTGTGGGGTAGAAGTTGTTTGCGAAGCTGTTTCTATACCAGATCTACAATACTATGTGACACCAGCCCGTCGGGCCAGTCGGGGTGGTGTTCCTTGAGCTCAAACGATATGAATAAATAGGTAGGTAGGTACATTACATCATAGGTATTCGTACGAGCGATGCACCAGATACCAGCCCAAGCCAGGGTAGATGCTCCTACCATATAATGTAGGACCTTGCGGCACTCATACGTAGTTGGTATCAATACTTCGTCCAGCTCTTAGGCAAAATGAGACAATCACGACAAGTCAGGCACCTCGAACGCTAAGTAGAAACTAACCGCTTGACCAGAAGCATGGATGAGTGCTTAGCTAGACTTTGACACGCAAAGACGGGAAATGTGCAAGCCAAGATCTAAGCACATGGGAGTTGGATTGTGTGATTCTTGTTCTCATATTCTATTTGCGATATGGGGTGGATATAACGCCAATTCGCTGACGAGAAAGCAGTGGTCAAAATTAAGGCCCGCATAACATGATGCTATTTGAAAGAACCAACGCCGGAAATGCGAAAAGGGCCAAACAGGAGAGAATCAAATACACAGCTCAGAAGAGGACATGTATGTACGAGGTACACGGTGGAAGTTGAAATGATATATCTACCAATCAACAGCCCAGCCGTTCTTTTCTAAAAAGTCTTCGCAGGCCGCTTTCAAGGCATAGTTCGGTCGTAGATCGTGAACGGTCATCGGTGTCCGTGTGATTGGGTCCACGCCAGATTGTTCGACGTACTTGAGGACACCTATACGGTCGAAGCTGGTACCCGAAGGTATGATAACTGGATCGTGCATGATCTCGAAGGTAATGCCGTCAACAAGGTAGTCGGGGACAACCTGTTCCGTCAGCATCCGAGGTAAGGAAAGAATGAACCTGCCGGTCTTGGATATACTTACCCGTTCTTGGACCTCTCCATTAGAGGCGATACGGAATGCCTCGCGCACATTATGGATATTCTTCTGGGCATCCTCCCTCAGCGCCTTTTGGTCTTCCCCGAAACCCGTCTCCCCGATTTCCCCTCTATCCAGCTGCCCTTGGAGATTGTCTAGCGAACGCTTTAGATCCGCTTCAACCAGCTCCTCCATAGTCGCCAGTGTTTGGTTCATTTCGCGCAGTCGTGATGTCTCTTTCGCAGCCCAGATCTGCTGCTTGGCGCGCAGGACAGCCTTGGAAAGGTTCTCCGTTTGTGCGTTCCTGGCCGCCAGACTGGCACGGTATGCATCAATGGCAACCTCGTATGCCTCCTGTGGCCGCTGAAGGCCCAAGAGCGCCTGGGAGAGGTACCAGCAGCTCTTCAGGCTAGTCGGCGACTTAGTCCCGTATAAATCGATAGCGGCGCGCGCATCGTGCTCAACGCCGGCCCATTTCTCAAGCCTTATCCGGGTGAGGGCGCGATTTGTGAAGAAAGTCGCCTCGCGAGGGTTTTTCTGGATCCTACATGATATGGCGTCGCCATTAGTCTTTTTTGCCCTTTTTTTCCCGCAAAAAGAAAATATTTGTCATGGCTTAGCTCACGCTTGGGAATAGAGCTCCTCCGCGCCATTGTAGTCACCCTCCTTGAACAGAATATTGCCCTTTTCCTTCAGATCGAATGACATGTCGGCCGACTGGTATCGCTCGGGAGTGAAGAAAAGGAATGGTTCACGTCGGGATTACTCTTTCGAGAGAAAGTCAGGAACGGAGAAGTCGTCGCAACGGGTTCTGCGTTCTGGTCAAATATAGTGGGGCAGAGTGTTCAGGTGGTCGACGGTGGTCCACTGTAAAATGCGGAGCCGGTATACTGGATGTAGATAGCGCCAGGGGCAAGCTGCGACTGACGATCCGAGGCTGGGACGGGCGAAGTTATATCGAATGGGTACAGTGTGGGATATTGCACACTTATATCGCAGCCCGAATTGGGACAATGCAAACGCAGCTTGGGGCCAAGGCTGACAGAGCTGCTCCGTTAGTATCTTTGCAGGCGCGGGGCTGGAATGATGCGATTTGGCGGCTTCAGTCAACGGCTCGGTGAAAGCATCTGCCCTGCCTAGTGGAATTGAGGCGAACAAAGTAGATAACAGCCCGGATTGCCATCATCTTGGTATATATTCCAGAAAGCTTGGTGAGATGTGTGGTGAAGTTGGAGATCGAAAGTGATCGATCCCCGCAGAATCTACTATGACTCAGCAATGCTGAGAAAACTCTATGTAACTAAGTCAGATCTCAGGAAAGATTTGAGTATTGAATGCGGATGAAACAAATGTATTCTAGCTCTATCTCTGCGTAAGTAGATGAGGAATAACAAAAATCATTTGGCCCGCCAAATTCATCCTGCCTGCGTGGGATATCGTGACTCGTGCAAAAAGAGCAGAGGAAAAAAGAAACCCGAGATTCATCGGGATCGACGCTGATAAAACACCATATAGGAAAAGCCGAAAGGGTCGGGAGTTGGTCTGACTTGTTCCCCACGCATCGATGATCCGAATTCTCGAACGGTCTGTCCAATGTCACGAGCACCGTTGGATTTTGCAAACGCGGCTCCAGTGACATGGTCATGCAGTCGGCCTGAGTCCGATTGAGGTGTATGGCAGATAAAGTGGGGGCCCCGCCTGAGCCTGTCTCGACCATCCAAATTTCAGATCTACTGAGCGAACTGCTGCTCGTAGTCCTTGATGGCCTGCACCTTAGGGGCAGAGGAACTGTTGGGATCGAACTTGTAGGTCACCCACTCGTTGGCGAGGCGCTTGGCCAGCTCAAGGCCGATAACGCGCTGGCCGAAGCAGAGAACCTGGGCATCGTTGCTGAGGATGGCGCGCTCAACGGAGAAGGAGTCGTGGGCAGTCACAGCACGGATGCCGCGCACTTTGTTGGCGGAAATGGCGACTCCCAGACCGGTGCCGCAGATGAACAGTCCACGGTCAGCCTTGCCATCCCGGATAAGCTTGGCTCCCTCCACGGCAGGGTGAGGGTAAGCGGTCTTGTCGGAGGTAGAGTTGACACCAACATCGAGGACCTCGCTGACATTGGGGTTCTTCTCGAGGATAGACTTGAGGGTATCCTTGTAGGGCTGGCCAGCCTCGTCGGCGGCGAAGACAATGCGAAGGCTCTGAGACATTGTGGATGATTGAAGATAGATAAAAGAAGATAGAAGATGGACTTGAGTGTATTTGGTCACAGAAAGACTGGGTTGTTTGAAAGTCTTGTGGATGGAATGCTGGAGAAGAGAGAGGTGGCGTAAGGGGGGGAGTTGGGAGGCTTTATATAGGCTGGCTGGACAATTGTCCGTCCGCGTCCGGACCTACTCTGCAAGTCCCAAGCGGCAAGCTCAGCAGACTGGTCTGATCGAGCCCCCTCCCCCAGACTGGAGTGGAGATGGGACCTGTGCCTCTTGGGCACAAGGATCCGAAATATGACTTCACGGCAACAAACTTGCAACTCATTGGCCATCTCCACGCTGGCGTCATTAAATACTGGATTCGGCTCGTATCAGCGCGGTTGCATGTGTTCCTTTGTCGCCATCCTTTTCCGATTGATTGTTTGCTGCAACGAGATCCACTGCCATTGTTTGCTGTGTGGATGGCTCTCAATATCGATCCCGCCAAGTCCATCCAAGACCGTCACAAAGGAATAGCTAGCCGACATTGCAAGGAAATGTTGGCAGCCCGCCAACAGCTATGATTAGATGCTCGGGGCTTTTAGGAACAGACTATCGACAAGGAAGTGTTTAATTGCGCCACCACATACTCAGAATCCTTGTTCATACTGGCACATGTGGAGCTTGTTTCGACCTGCGTATACTCCTTGGAAGCGCGGGAGGAGGCTTTGGAGGCCGCCTCGGGTCTGGCGTGCCTCCTGCCAGGTCCGGGATTACACTTCCACGAGCCAACCGGTTTGCACTTAACGGCCTGATCAACGGGGATCCTAACACGCTTGAGTCCATGGATTGCGAATCACAGTTCTTGTTCCTATCTGTCCTATGACGTAAATCTCGTGGCTTGGTGTGCATGCTTCAAGTTTTCGATAATCTTCACGGCTCATCATTCCAACCTGTTTTTGTTGCGCATCTGTCAAATTGCGTCCCATCTCCCCCTTGAGTACAACCAATGGTCTCCTGTCAATATCCACTGCATTCCAAGAATCAGGGCAAGTCTAGATGCTGCTAGCGCATTCGAACATTGCGCTAGAGGGAACGCATTGAAGCAGTCGCACCTTACCGGTTCGGTCAATCCTCCTCAACCCACCCCACCTGCCATCTTGGGCCTGCCCCTCTCGCGTGTAACCACAACCCTCATTGGTCCGTAATGTGACACCCGAACACATTCAGTGGTGGAGCTAGTAATATTACCGGCCGGGACGGATATTTGCTGCCAAAATATTTGATAATCGGTAATATTACCTTGTTTATACACAGAATTCGGGAAGCTCTTTTCAGTTATCCCCGCCGTTATCCATGATTATTGTCCACTAGAGACGTGCTCAGGCGCAGCACCGGAATACCCAGATTCATCAAACGAAGACTCACCGACTCCGAGCTCAGGTCTCATGACCTTCGTAGACCTCCTCGGCCTTGTTGATGGACAATTCAAATACGCTGAAGAGCCCTTGACAACGCGCCCCACGGCGCTCGTCCACTTCTCCCCCCCTCTCCATTTTAATCCCCATTTTTATCCCCAGATCATCTTCTCCAGACTGTCATCGACGCTGCGGACCACAATTGTCCGGACAGTGGCCTCATTGGACGAGTGGATGTATCTACGTGGGACGATCTCTGTCTGTGTCTTCTTTTGCTGGGTAAGTCGACCGAATGCGACTCCATTTCCCCGTCTCAAAGGTGTCCTGCCAGTCGCCAATGAGAGTGCCCCGCAAGAGAAATGGATCATTCACTAACGCGCGTGGTGCAGTGATTGGCAAGCTCACCTTTGACCCGGGTACGACATTCGATTCATTTCCTTGCCATTCTTGCGCTTTCGTCACTGGCCCAGTGTTCCGAGCATTCCTTATCTAGCCAGGACGGCAAGAATTGCGTGAACAACAACAACCGGTTGAACAGAAGGTTGTGTGTGAAACATCGAAATCTAAAGCTGTTGAGAGGGTTTATTGCGCGAAGATCATGGAGTCAAACACAAAGCAGGCCTATCCGGTCCTGCCCAAGAATCTTCTTTTGATCTCCTTGAAGATGTACTTTGAGCCGTCGCGAACGCTCGAGTACTGCCGCGCACTTCTCGACCCCAAAAACGACATAGTTCGACCAGAAAACCGATCTAAGCTACTCCTAGCTCTAATCCCTGACTTTCTCACCATTTATCCCTGTGCGGGAATTATCAACGAATACGTCTCTTCCTTGCCAAAAGATGATTCCCCGTCACTTCCCGCCCCGTTCCTACTAGGCGCACAAGACTGTTTTTGGGAATCTCTCGGGGCCTACACCGGTGAAGTCTCACCACTTGCTCTTAGCTCCATGGGTGTCTCCATCGTTGAGTTAGCCCATGCCGAGCGCCGCTCTATCTTTGGAGAAACAGATGAGCAGGCTGCCCGCAAGGCCGCCGCGGCCTGTGCACACGGCATGGTCCCTTTGGTATGCATCGGCGAAATCAGTGCACCTGGCCCAGTGGCTTCGGAGGCAGTTGGGCTTGCGGTGCGCGAGTGCGAAGTACTGGTTCGTGCTATACTGAACGCTATTCCGGCCGATGCACCCGTCATTTTTGCCTATGAGCCTGTCTGGGCCATTGGGAAGCCGAAGCCCGCCAGTGTGGATCATATCTCTGCTGTGGTGGACGGGCTGCGCACATTGGTCGGCCAGCGACCTGGAGATGTCCGTATTCTGTACGGAGGCAGTGCTGGGCCCGGCCTGTGGGGGCCCGGAGGTCTGGGGAAAGCTGTCGATGGCATGTTTCTGGGTCGATTTGCGCATGAAATCGAGGGCGTGCGCAAGGTCGTCCGAGAAGTGGAGGAAACTCTCATTTGAAGATTGAAACCAACCAATGAAAAAGCTGAATCGCGATTTTTCCAACGCAGACTAAATGTCATAGATGGGGCTAACAAACAACTTTACATTTTACGGCATTCGAAACAAACGGGGTGCAACAATATTGACTAGATTTTAATGCGATGACCTGATCTTACTATTTTTTTCATCCTTTCCCCCTCTTCTCGCCTACAACGGACAAGCGTGGCTTTGATCCTTGCAAGCCACGCCGCAGCCGAAAGTGCATGATGACCTCATGGGGCTTACCGCGGAGTCAGAGACCTCTGCCACCACCTTGGATGACAATCCATCCCTACAAGATTGCCTTAGGTCGACTGTGCAGCGGACTTTTACACGCAAGTGGTTGGTGGCTACACCTTTTTAGGGTACCGACATGGGCAACAAAAATACCACAGCCAAACAATATACCAGAACGTCAAAGCGCATGCAACAACGGGCTAATCATTTTTCGAGTTATCAAAATCGATTCTATCTTGAATTAATTCCTTTCTGACAGCTTAGCTCGTTTCCTCCCGCAGTTCCTGTTTCACTCGAGTCACAGTTCCAACTCCGCCATAGACAACACCCGTGTACATCATGGCAACAGAGGCCCCTGCGTCTAAGGCAGCTCGAGCCTGTTTACCGTTGGTGATGCCTCCAGAAGCGAAGATAACTTTGCGCTGTAACCCACTTGGCGCCTCCACGGAAGGAACGTTTTCCGAGTCAGGCTCGGCTCGCGTAGTGGTTGCTGCCAATTCCTTGGCAATTCCGGCCTTTTCCGAATCATCCTGGATCGCATCCAGCATCGCCCGGTACCGAGCCACAAGGACCACCGTACGGTCGAACAGCTGTGGGCCGGAATATCCACCAGTCTCTTTAAGTGCTGCCTGTTCTTTTGAAGGAAGCGTGTAACCTTGGGGTAGAGGGTCCGGGCGGCGGTTCGTTGTATTTCCGACAATTACTCCGTCGACACCAGAGCCTCGAACAGCGTCGCAAATTCCGGAGACTTGCTCGTCTGAGTCCTCATCCGGACTGACCTTGACCATAACATACGGTTTAGTCTTGCGATCCACGCTCTTTGCAGCCCCCACGACAGCTTTGAGGATTGCAGTGAGCGGAGCAGTAGCTTGCAAATCACGGAGACCGGGTGTGTTGGGGCTTGATACATTCACGACAAGAATATCAGCATATTTGGCCAGACGGTCCACGCAATACACATAGTCGCGCTTGACGGCCTCGATATCAGCATCCGGCGTAGCCTTGTTCTTGGCCACTTGGACAGCAAGAAGCTTCCCAGCCTGAAGACTACCCGGAGGTACCTGAGCATCGCCATTCAGAACACGCTCCTCGGCCGTATCATGTAGCCCAAACCCATTATTGTAAGCGTAATCGCGAACTCTTTGCTCCAGAATAGCTGCCATGTGATCTGCCCCCTTAGAGTTAAGGCCATACCGGTTGATCATGGCTTTCTGCGAAGGCAGTCGGAATACTCTAGGGCGTGGGTTGCCGTCCTGTGGCAAAGGGGTGGTGCCTCCAACTTCCACGATAGCGGGACCGATCGCGAACAGCGGGTCGGGGATTTCGGCATGCTTGTCAAGCCCGCCTGAGATACCGATAGGGTTTGACAGCTTGTACCCAAAGACCTATTCTGACCATAAGCATTTTTTGGGCTATGAAAGTAAGTATAATGCCACCCACCTCGGTCTCCAAAGCCCCATCACCATCAGGATCACCTCGCTCCCGTGGATGCAAACCATATTTATGTAATATCCTTAACGCATCGACACCAATATGGTGCGCATCCTCGGCATCAGGAAAGAACGTCCTGATCAAGGGCACAGCGCCGTAACGATGAATACTCGCACGCGTATCTGACCCGTACACCCACCCAACCAACAGCGTCAGAGCCAACGACGTCCCCAGAACTGTTCTTCGCAACCCGCGACCTGATTTCTTGGGAGCCTCTTTAGCTGCCTCAGCTGCCGCCGTTGTGGTTGTTGCTGCGGGTGCCGCCGCGCCTCCGGTAGTCGCTGCGCTGGTATCAGATGCATACCGTAGACCCTGAGAGTTCGCCAACCGTCGGCACGTTGGGACAAAGGTCCGTCTTGGGAGACGGGTTGCACCCGTGAGTGTAACCCTTCGGACACAGTTCGTAGCCATTTGCACTCTGTGTAAGGGTAGTAGACAGTACAGGAAGAAGTACGTAGTGTCCGCTCAGAATTAGTTCAAGACTGGTAAACCTGCATACATAATAAAGTTTAGCAGACCGAACTTAATGACGAAATAACATCGACTTCATTTCAATTGGACCCATTCCAGCGAGGTATGCAAAAGATCACAAGAGAAAGCTCGAAGACCTCGAAGACCGAAGCTAGACGCTCGGTCCGAAATACTCAACTCACCAGTCCAGTCAATCAACGCCCAAAACAGCGCATTCAGTGTCCTCGAAGGGTCAGCTTGATAAATATCTCGCGTACTTAAACTCAATTGAAGAGCCAAGCCACAGAAATTGAACCCAGAGATCCTCGTCGAGGGTGCGTACTTTGGTCAACGGTCCCCAGTCCACCTCCGGGTCCGGCGAACTTCTTCTACCGCCTTGGGCAGAAGGGTGGTGGGGAGGGCGGTCAGAGAATAGATCGGGTAAAATGGCAGCCTTGGCAGGGCTCAGCTGGCTACATACAACTGCTAGGTAATTATTGAATTAGAAGATATGTATTCATTTGGTATGATCAGTATATGAACACAAAGATCATAGGAAGTCATTTGGAGACCACCAAGCACATGAAAAGAGCAAAGAAGGAAGAAGATTCGCTGAACTCCAAATCCCCAGTAGATATTTATGCCACTCAAAATATTGGAAACAAAACGCCTGTTTTTGCCGCCTGACGCCAATTGGCAGATGAAGTCAAGAGTCAAAAAGTTAAGCCGGAGCTGATAGTCCGCAACGGCTTGCCGATCGGCTGGAATATGGGTACCAGAAAGACAAGACAGGAAGTCAAAGGTAGAGAAAGCTTCCAAAGGTTTTCCTAGTAATAACAGGTAAAAGATGGATGAATAGATGCCGAAGTTGAGAGACTGGAAAAGGGCACCAACAGACGCACAAAATCTGGCGCGATTAACTCATTCGTCGCTCATTCTATCATCGTCGTCTTCATCTACCTTCGGTTGCACATCTGTTCCCTCTTCGGTTGGCTGGGACTCGGGTTCCTCAGCAGGCTCTGGGGGAGGGGGCATTGTTTTAGCGAATTTAGGGTCGATGGCAGCGCGGTAGGTGGATCGTTTGTATAACTCCAGTTCCTCTGGATCACGAGCCACAACTTGCATCTGGTGGACCTGGTCTTCCTTCGATTTAGGCTTTGTGGGTGCGAGGCCTGCCTGGGCGATGGTTCGTGCACGCTCGGGCTTTAGGCGCGTCTTTCCAATGATGGGATAGTAATAAGCAGCCTTCTGTGTTGGCGTGGTGGTATTATCCTTTGCTTCCGCTGGGTCGTGAAGTGCCATTGCAATGTCCGTTTGTTTCTGGGGGTTGCCAAGTGCCTGTGCGGTTGTGGCATATGTACGTGCACGATCATAACGGTGGAACTTCATGTTGTCAGCACCCTCATTGGTGTAGAGATCTTCGTTGTCGCGGTCGGGGTTGGATAAATGTAAACTGTTTCGAACGTTCTTCACCGAATCCTTCTTCTCCGGTAGGAATAGGTCATAGTCGTATGGGACAGGACCGGGATCTTGGTACAGGTTAGGGTTAGATTTATGCAGGGATTTCTTGGTGGCGTATTCTTGGGCAACACGCTCCTCAGGCTCTGAGGGAAGCAGAATCGCAACGTCCATACGCTCATCCCGTTTGCCTCCAGAACCCTGGACTGGGGCTTTGTCGAATTTGAACTGCACAAAACCTCCAGGATCGGGGAAGCCTTGTAAATCGGGGAGAAGTGGATAGTAACCGACGGGTTTTAACTTTGGATTATCCGGATGCACAGGTTGCGCCCACGCATCAGTCTCAAGTTTCGTCGGGGCGAGACCTTTGATTTGGCTTGACGTATCTTCACCCACGTGTTTGCTGTCCGGGTAGGCAATATCGAATCCCTTCAGGATATACTTCTTAATATATGTCGGGTCATCTTGAGACTTCTTATCGATGCGCGATTTAGGACGGATAGCCGTGACCTTTGGCCCATCAGGGGCGCGAATACCGGCGGAAATGTATTGCGTGCGGCGGAGGAAACTGACATTGGAATTTTTGGGCGCAGGGTTTTTCAGTTGGTCGAGTGTCAAAAGAAGCGGTAGGTCAGCAGGGTCAATTGGTTCTGGGTTTTCCGGCGCCATGATTGCTGAGAATAGAAGTCAAATTAGTGTCTCGCTTTAGTAGTTATTCAGCTGGGTTCAGGAACCTACCGCTCTCATCACCCAGATGCAAGCCTGGAATACCAACCAGGTCGATTGGCATACCACCTTCCGCGTCGACATCAATGTTGGGTTCTTCACGTCGGCCTAGATTAGAGGCAAACCCGGGAGTAAGAAACCTCTCAAGCCCTTCATGCGGAATGTCGAGGAACTTCGGGGGCATATCAGGAGGAGGGAGATCATTTCGATAACGCAGGGAAGCTATGTATTCCTGGTGGAAGCCCCCAGAGGAGCTGCTATCCTTTGATTTGGACATGTCTGGTTTCCGCACTTCAAAAATTCCAGCGAAATCAGGTGGTGTTTTTCGACACGAAGGCGGGGTACAATCTATTCAATTAATGTTAGCATCCATATATTCGAGTCTACAGCTAGCTTGCCGGTAGACATGCATTGAGCAGTAAGGGAGATTGGAGGGATCTCGGAATCCCGAACAACAATCAAGTCCCCGTTTTCAGTGCTTGAATTGACCGGCACAAGGACTTAAACAATATATGAGCTGGTTATTGGCTGCTTTTGTGAACCATGAGACTGAACAGAGCGCGCAAACTTACCTGGGGTTCGAGGAACCATTCTGCACATCCCTACCGCCTAGTGTTTATGGTTAGTGCTGAAATGATCGGGCAGAGCGGAGAATTGTTAGTCCGAATTTCAATCCATACTGTGGTTGGTTATGTAATCTGATAACACAAAAGAAGCAGGCTTGATGGAATTCACTGGAAAGAACAATACCACATTGGTAAGGTATTGCACTGTTATCTTAGGTAGTAACAATGTATTGAGGAATATCCAAAATTTATTAAGCTATATAGAATCATAACTGGGTACTTTCTAGTTTTTGGTATACCCACCATGGAGAAAACCCCATAACAGCAATTTTCATTCTAAAAATCAATAAGCCCACATACACTTGTATGCGAGCAGACGGTGTCCTAGGCGATCATATTCTAGCTGGCTAATCCAGCTATCATTCGTCCCACTGAGTTTCCCAAACACGCTGGCGCCCTTCCACGCGACAACCTGCGGGTCAAGGTCTCTTGGCGGCGTACCAATCATGATTTCCTTCGCGAAACCTGGCTGAAGAAGTTGAAGTCGTTCTTCTAAGAACAAATGGAAGTTGCTGACCAGGCTTCCTCCACCGACAACCATGATTCCACCGAGGAAATCGCGCATCTTCCGCTCGTCTGAGCGGGCAGCATGTATGATTGAGGTAAGGATTGCCTTGTCCAAGGGGTACGACGGGAGAATATCGTCACGCTCCTCGACGGTGGGCTCACGGGGCTGAGATGTGCTTTGGCTTTGTCCAGCAGGTGCGGGAGTAGCGCCACCCCCTGCTTGTGGTGTGCCCTCTGGTACCGGGGAGCCGGCAACGGACGATCGGGGAGTGGCCTCGGCGTCCTGTACACGGCTCAGAGCATTCAGCTGCTGTGATCGGCTAGGAGTTGCTTGTACGTCCACAGTGCTCACCTGGGAGTCACCGTTGACTTGGCCGCTAGAAGATGGAGGAGCAAGCATCGTCAGGATTTCCGACTGGGCGGCGGAAGTTGGATCATTTGGTTGGCCATCATAAATATCCACAGAGCGAGTAATCAATTTCCGTCGCCCATTGAGTTTATTCGAGTTGTCAAACAAAGTCGGGTGGAAAACGCCCATTGGAGCAAGGTGCACCTCATCGTATGCTTTGAATGTATACTTGCGAGTGTCTTGGCCAGCAACCCGGAGATGGAAATCGAAGACCTGTACAGAAACGCTCGCTTCGTTCATGGTACAGACGTTCTTCTTCAACTCCTCAGCTAACAGGAAGTCATACCTGTGCCATAAGTTGATCTCTTCGTAAGGGAAGTGATCATGAAGCATCATCTTGACGAATAGCTCAGTCATATCCGCTCCGCCATATTTCAGATTCACACGCGAATTTTCGATGCACATTCCTTCCTCGACACAACATATTGATGTCTTTTGCGCACCAATATCAACAACGCAGGCCGAGGTGAATCCAGCACCAAAGGTGGCAGCAAGACTCTCTTGGATGAAGCAAACGCGAGCGAACGAGAACTCCCTCATGAGCATATCAAGCATTTGGGTAACGTATGACTTTTCGAACAAATCCGGGATCACAAACACGCAGGAGTACTGCGGCCAGTCTTTCTTGCTTGTAAGGCCCAGCTGGGTCTTGATCGCATCTTCAAGGATGATGGAAATGTCCAAGAACATGAGCCGCTTGTTGTCATAATCCTCCTCATTACACCAACCATACTTCATAGGCCAGAAGAGTTTATAGCGGGGTTTTGACTCGTCGGGTATCCGCAAAGCTGGCTGTCCCACAATGTACTCGGGCGCCGGGTCTGGAATTTCAGTCCATTCAACTCGCATTGGATCATTGTGTTCTGAGATAGTCTCCGGTACTGTCCGGCGGTTATAGTTGATTACCATTTCCTTGGAGTTTGGCAGAGTTCGACGTTTGTTCTGTCGCATATGTGTTTTGAGATCTGCGGCTATGGATGTATACTGCGAAGAGAACTATAACCAATTAGCTCCAGTAGAGTAAAAAGCATCATTAACTGGGATCCAGGACATACCTCTGGGCCGAATTTCTTCTCCGGCTCCATTTCAGAGCCATCATCCAGCTTCAACCTCTTCGGGCAAGGCTCCTCATGATCTTCGGATTCACTAGTAGTTGATTTCCGCGCGATGACCATAGGGATGGTTTTCGGCAGCGCATCGCTAGACAGGCCAATACGAAGATTCTGGCTGCCGACATGGATGACGACGACTTTGGAACCCAAAGTCTCCGTAGCCGCCTCCTCCGCCTCTTCCATGTTTGCGCCGCCATCCATCTCTGTGTCCGCTTCGGGTATTCCTAGGTCATTTGTCTTTGCCATTGCAAGTGCACGGTCGCGGTCTTTGGCATTTTTAGCCATCCGATTCCGATTCTCTTCATTTTGCAACCTGAACGCCAGGTACTGATCGTCGCGCTTGAGGTAGTCACTGCAATATAGGGAGAGTGCTCCGTTAGTGAGAAGAATCTTAAATAACAGAAAACAATATGGTAATTAAATAGGGCACGAACGTGTAATAGTTTTTCTGGTTGATTGCGGGGATCACAGGCCAGCTGGAGAGGTCCATATTGTTATCCGTCCTTTCGAGGCCTAAGCAGGAGTTAGGGCATGCAGCATATCACGATGGAGGGGAATTAATTGAATTACTGACCCTCATCCCGAAGGAGGGCTTTCCCAGACTTCTTGCCTACCATTTTGCGTAGCTCCTGGTTCCAACACAAGGATCAATCTTCGTTCAATCGCGCCGGAAGTCGGACCAGCTTCGTCTGGAAGGCTGCCAAGGGGTTCGTTTGGGGGTGGTCGGAATCGGGGTCCGATCAGAGGATAAGGAGAAAGCGAAAGGAAGGTCGGGGGTAGGTGGAAGAGGAAGACTGTTGAACTCAAGCTGTTGCAGATAGAGAAAGAGCGTCATCAAGACCAATGCGACATGCACATACTCTCCGCTCGGCAAGCCTGGAGCGTGAAAGGCGAATTGCTCCAAACGGTATAGCGCAAAGGACACTGCAGTATACACTATACAGTTCCAACCACGAACCCATTACAGCAACAACACAACAGATTCCAGGAGATAGTGATATAGATTAATTGTGAATTATAAATCAGCACAGTCATTTCTTTTCTCAGGACTGAAAAAACCAAATTGCAGTTGCTCAGGGTCCAGGACAGCGTGAGTGGAAGCTTTGACCAGCCCGATCGCCCGCCCTGCGATTTAGTCAGCTTCGATTCTGGAGGTTCTGGGGTTTTGCTGCGCTGGGTCATCTTCCTCCGACACAAAGCACTTCCTCCTTTCTCAAGCAACTGTCTTTCTCCGATAACTTCTTCTAACCTTTCCACTATACCCTTTCATACTCGCGTTTATCTGCCGGGACGACGAACCCCCGTTCCCTACGATCGGTCGCCGCCTGAACGCTGCCGCTAAAGGAGTATCGCCGCTTTCCACCGCCAACGAACACAAGCAGTCATGGGAGGTTCACTTTCGCGACTATGGTCCTTGTTATGGGCAAAAAAGGAAATTCGAATTTTGATTCTTGGACTTGTATGCCAATAATTTTAACATCTGCAAAATGCTTGGGACGCTGGAACTGAGACGCTATCTCTCATAGGACAATGCTGGCAAGACCACTCTCCTCTACAGGTTAAAGGTATGTTCTCTGTTATATCTCGCTGGGTCCGCGCATAGTCTTTTGAATTTTGTGCTAATATGAATTTCGTGATAGATCGGCGAAGTCGTGACCACAATACCCACCATCGGATTCAACGTAGAATCAGTGACGTACAGAAATTTGAACTTTAATGTTTGGGTACGCGCTTCATAACATCTTCAGTCCATCCTTTATATGCTTCAGAATTTATTCGCTCATGCAATCTGCACTTTAGGATCTCGGAGGCCAAACCTCTATTCGTCCATACTGGCGGTGCTACTACGCTAACACCGCTGCCGTCGTTTTCGTGATCGATTCCACAGATGTTGAACGTCTCAATACAGCTGCCGATGAACTTTCTGCAATGCTAAATGAGGAGGAGCTGCGTGAAGCTGCACTTCTGGTCTTCGCAAACAAACAAGATCAGCCCGGTGCAAAGGGCGCTGGAGAAATATCAGAGGCACTAAAACTTGGGGAACTGCGGGATAGGAACTGGAGCATTGTGGCATGTTCTGCCATTGATGGTAAAGGTCTAAACGAAGGCATGGACTGGTTGGTGGTACGCTTGTCTACACTCCCAATGAAATCGGGCTCTGCTAACGTCGGAATGTGCAGCAAACTCTTCAATCCGAAAACGCATAAGCGCTGGCGTCTTTTGTCGTGCGATAGAATCTTTTAATATTCCCCTCCTCGGCATTTGATGCTATGGAGTGCATGTCGTTATACAGTATATTTTTTTTTGATGTGGGGATTTTGAGACGAGACGAGCGTAATATCATAATTGATTCGAATATGTCCAGTTGGCTTTGTTCGATTTTCCTTGTGTTTGGCATGACATGGAGCTGTGGTTGGAACTGGTTATATGAAGCCTTGGAGCGCGCGAACATGCTTGGGTGTATAAATCAACAGCAACTACTACTGCATTGTACCAGACTTTGAAAATATTACTGATTAGTATAAATCACTAGTAACTGTCAACTGTTTCTAACGTTAGGGTGTATTTATTGGTCGTTATCCTATCAGACACTAACGACTATATACATATACGGTTTCAGCTATATTCAACTTTTTTTAATTGGAAGCTACCACAAATTATATATATATATGTATATATCATTCCTACTCACTTGGAGGGCAAAGGCTAACTACTCCTACTGTTCAAAAAACACGCCATCTCCATCTCCTGACCTTCAAATTCCAGACTACAAGACCAGTTATACTCCCCGCAATTGATACTTATCCTCTCCATTTACGTATCTACCCCGCACCTTACCACAAAGAACTGAAAGATAAGAGAGCGAACCTTAATAGGGCTCCAATTGCAGTCTATTTCATCCTCTCATTCAATCCCAAAGCCACTGAAAACTTTCTTTCCCGCAATTCCATCCACGGTAAAGGGACTAATACGGATACAATGACCGAGCCCCGGGCACAAACCGCAGCTGTCCTCCCCTCCACCGGAGCAACCGCCAACAGCCGTCTCGAAATCAAGAATGACAGGCCCATTCCCTCTCCAGCGCAGGGGGAGTTGCTTGTTAAGCTGGAGTTCTCGGGGGTCTGTCATTCTGACGTGCACAGTGTTCGCGGGGAGACGCCTATGTTGACGGATGTTGCAGGGCACGAAGGGGTTGGGAAAGTTGTCAGAGGTGAGTATTTCACTAGACTTTGTGGAAATAGTTTGGAGCTAGTGTTGACTGATTTAGTTGGCGATGGTGTAGATGAAGGGGCTTGGATGGGGAAGAGGGTTGGTATTAGGTATGATTCCCGCCCTCGAGGCTACGACTAGAATAACGGTAATTGAGATTGTGCCTACGAATTATAGATGGCTATACAGTTCGTGCCTGGAGTGCGAGATCTGCGAGAGGAATAATACCGCTTGTCCTTATCAAAAGAACGCTGGTGCAGTATGTTATTCTACCTTATGGAGTGGACTGACCGAAAGCTAATATACAAGATATGCAGAATGTGCCAGGAACATTTCAGCGTGTGTAATCCACTATAGCTTTTGAACTCATAGCGACTATACATTGATTCTTCTGATGCTTTTTTTATAGAGTACATCGTCAGCCCTGCAGTGCACGTAACGAGGATCCCGGAACAATTAGCTCCTGACGAAGCTGCGCCTCTGCTATGTGGTACGATAGCCGTCACCAAACATGTGCAGTATTGAGGGCTCTAACAGATTTCTATGATATAGCTGGAATCGCGATGTATTCATCGATCATGAAGACAAGAACTCGTCCCGGGGACTGGCTCGTCCTTCCTGGTGCTGGAGGTGGTTTGGGGCATATGTACGTTTTCGACCACCACATTGGTTCTGCAAAGCACGAGGTGACATGACCTCACATTGCATCAGCTGATACATTGACTGTTAGGGGTGTACAAATTGCGGTAAGAAAGGGTCTAAAGGTCATCGCAATAGACAGGTACGAAATATCCTAAGACCAAGGTACCTACCAGGGGAAGAAAGACTGACCCTAAGCAGCGGCGAGAAGAAGAAACAACTATGCATAAAACTCGGGGCCACGGCCTTCGTCGACTACAAAACTGATGATGTCCAAGACGCGGTGAAACAACTAACCGCTGGCCTCGGTGCACACGCTGTAATCTGCACGGCAAACAGCGAGGCATCGTACGAGCAAAGCATGCGGCTTCTCCGTCGTTTAGGAGTGCTTGTGTGCGTTGGGATACCTAATGTCCCGTTCCGATTGCCGGCGACACCGTTTGATATGATTGTTAAAGGTGAGTTACTCACCTAATTGCGGTCATCGATGACGGTTTAGACGGTGTGGGGCTGACAAGATGTATCTAGGGCTAACGATTGTTGGGAATTCAGCTGGTACGGCGCAGGAGATGAATGAATTAATGAAGATGGCAGTAGCAGGGGAGGTGAAGGCTCATATTGAGTGCTTTGCATTTGATCAGCTCGATGATGTTATTCAGAGGCTTGGGAGGTCTGAGATTGAGGGACGGGCTGTTATGCGGATTCCGGAATAATTTGGGGGGGGAGGGATAGTGACGTTTTGAGTAAGGTAACAAACACCCTCATAGCCAGTTTCCTGACTAACTTGGGATGAGGCTGATGGGGCAAATGCAGCGGGTCTGATTTGTGCTTAGTTTTAGTACTTTTTAGCCTGAACCCTGCATCAACAGCGGTCCGTCTTGAATATGAAAGCAAGGAATGGAATTAGTCGGCCTTCATATCTTCCACGCACTTGTTAAGGTACACGGTGGACTTGGAGGATAAAGTTGGATAATGGGTTTGAGTCCGACTCGAAAATATATCTCAAACATACCCGCCATCAAGGTGGGCAAAAACATTGCCCGTCTATTGGAGTAATGGCTTTTGAGATGGATTTACCTAGGTTGAGTATTATTATCCTACAATATTAATGAGAACTGCTAGAGTTAAACACGCTCTAAGGAGTTCTTTAATGTCTGACCCTCTGATCTCCGCAGGTGACGCGGGGGCCCAGAATTATTATCGATAAGATCAATTATGCGTCGACCTTAATTTGAATCAATGGGCTCCGCCTGGACCCCCCCTAAATTCGTCGTGATTGCAAATCACGAGGCGTCGACCGTACGGAACGGAGATGCCAAAGTGTGGTGGAATACGGGGCTGTGATTGGCTGACCAGGCTATACTGGCGATGCAGTGTCCGATTGTCTCCCGACCGTTTGCTTCTCTTCCTACTGCTGTCCTCGTCTGGTTGCCACACATGGCTCCACGTTGCTCTCTGACTTGCCAATGATTTTCTGGTCTTTCAACTCGTGCATTGGGCTGCAGGTCCTCGGAAACGCTGCAGGATGTCTATCGAAGCCGCGGATCCTGAACCATACCGCCTCGTGCACCGTCATCGGGCTCCCTCTAACCTTCTTCCACCCCGAGTCTGGTATGGGGCCAATTGAAAGGGAATGATCCTAGGATCGTCCTTTCATTGACCTCCGCTGCTATCGACGAGTTCCGTTTCCAGTCAGTGTGTCTCGCGCGACCCAGGCCCATGTGTGTTCCTGATAGGGCATCGACACCCTTACGCTTCCTCACCTTCCTTAATATTAGGAGCCAGCGCTGTCGAGAGAGTGGTCCTAGTGGGGCAGAGAGGGCATGCGCTTGATTCCCCTCCCCCGATGTCCACCGATGATGGAGGGGTATTTGATTCATGAAGGCGCCCCTCCCGGCTCAATTCTTTGAGTTGGGAAGGCTAGTTACTTCTGCCCTTCAGGTCGTATCTTTCAACCTACGCCATGAGCTCTCTCGCCAGTGGCCCTGCTGGATTCATCCAGAACGGCCTTGACCATCACTATGTTTCAATTGCAGGCACCGCATTCTTTGTTTGCGCACTTGTCGCAGTTGTCCTCGTTCTGGGGTCGCAGAGGCGCAACAAGGTCGATTACAACACTGGAATTTTCAGCTACCTGAAATTCATCTATGCCAACTTTCTGAAACCCCATAATAAAGGCAGCAACGGTCAACAGGATGCGTTGGAGAGCTTCTATTCTACCCAAGTATGAATCTGAGCTGTCCTAGCCGCTTCTCCAAGCAAGCCAATTAACCTCTACGCAGGCTTCAGTATATGATTCCACTCGAAAGCGCCTTCTCTGTGGCCGAGAGGACATGCTTGGTCTCGTTGCTGCCCAGCTCAAGTACAAGCTTGAGAACAAGGAGCTTCAGAAAGGAAAGGCGATTTGGGTCGATGTAAGATGCCTTTGCTCCAACCTGTCGACATAGCTAATAACTGGCTTAGATTGGTGGTGGTACTGGGTAAGCTCCAAACTGGACGAAGTTTCCCCCCTCGTGTTCTAATAAGATTAAAGATACAACATCGAAGCCATGGCCGCGTTCGTTCCCGTCCCCGAGTTCTTCTCCCAGGTTTACCTCGTCGACCTATCCCCGTCTCTATGTGAAGTTGCACGCCAACGCTTCGAGCGATTAGGATGGAAGAATGTCACAGTTGTCTGCCAGGATGCACGCTCGTTCCGTCTACCGGAAGAGAACATCGACCCGGCAAGAAACCCTGGAACTGGTGCCGATGTGGTCACAATGAGTTACAGTCTGTCAATGATCCCAGGTAAGAGCTACTTTGCGTATTTCCAGCGTAATCGCTCACTCAAATATGCAGATTATTACAGCGTAGTGGACTCGCTAGGAAACCTGGTGAAGCCGTCTGGCCTACTTGGTGTCTGCGACTTTTACGGTAAAGCCCAGTATAACCTTCGTTCACGAGACGGGAGGCTAATGTATCAAAAGTTCAAAGCATTGTCGATGTCTCTACCAGGAATTACATTGGTGGTGCCTTCAACCGCCACGTTAACTGGCTAGGTCGTGCATTCTGGCGTGCCTGGTTCGAGGCAGACCGTGTGAACCTCGATGCTGCTCGTCGTGACTATTTGGAATATCGCTTCGGAACCGTGATTTCGGCGAGTGAGCGAAATTACCTTCTCGGTGGTATCCCTTACTACATTTTCATTGGACGTCAGAAGGATATCTCTCCAAACCAGGCCAGCCGTGAGGCTATCGAGAAGTTGGACGCATCCTTCACTGAATCACCGTATCTCTCTCCGGCCAACCACCGCAACGAGATGGATAAGGCTGTCATCAAGAGCACACAGGAGATTCGGTCCAAGGCATATGAATCGGCTGTGATCAACTTGAGTGCCAACCTTCCCCTCCCCGCATCCTTCTACCAAAACCACCATTATCGCATTTTCTACAACGACCTCCTCCCTAAGCACACGCAGTTCCAAAACGAGTACATCTATGCCTTCACCTGGGAAGACCCCCGGGTTGACCACCGACTACTGGACATTAAGCGTGACGACGTCATTCTGGCCATCACAAGCGCTGGCGATAACATCTTGGATTATTTGCAGAAGAGCCCGCGTCGCGTTCATGCGGTTGATTTGAACCCGAACCAGAACCACCTTCTTGAGCTTAAGGTCGCCTGTTTTATCGCTCTCGGCCACAGGGATCTTTGGAAGATCTTTGGTGAGGGAAAGCATGCCGAATTCCGTGATCTCTTGATTTCGCGCCTCAGCCCTCACCTCTCCAGCCAGGCTTTCCAGTACTGGCTTGAACACACCCAGGTCTTTACCTCATCTTCAGGCCGAGGCCTCTATGAGACAGGCGGCTCTCGCCATGCAATCAAGATGGTCCGCTATATCTTTAAGTTCTTCGGTATGGAGGGACAAGTAAAGAAGCTTTGCGAAGCTCAAACCCTAGCTGAGCAGCGTGAAATCTGGCCGCGGATTCGCTCCGTTCTTATGAGCAAGCCTCTTCACTGGGCAGTGGTTAGTACTGAATGGTTTGCATGGAAAGCTGCTGGTGTTCCTCGCAACCAGCGAAACATGATCGTTGACGACTACTTCAAGCGCAATGGTCTCACAAAGGAGATGAACAATGCTAAGGACCTCAGTGGCAAGTCAATCTGGGAATATGTGGTGGACACATTGGACCCTGTTGTCCAAGAGACCATGATCAGTAATGACAACTACTTCTACTACCTGTGCTTGCAGGGTCAATTCTCAAGAAGGTGACTACCCCCAGTTCTTGTTCACCTGAGCAACCACTAATAATATATGATAGATGTGCCCCAACCTACCTTACCCCTCAAGCCCATGTCAAGCTGTCATCTCCAGGCGCATTTGATGGCCTACGTATCCACACAGATGAGATCAACGAAGTGATCGCGCGTATCACTCCTCGAAGCCTCACAATCGCCGTGGTAAGTTATCTTCCCGCTTTGGCATGACTTCAAAAGTATATTAATCCCAATCCCCAACAGGTAATGGACTCAATGGACTGGTTCGACCCAGAAGGCGCAGACGCCTCAGCGCAAGCGCGGAAATTCAACCACGCCCTGAAGTTAGAGGGCCGAATCCTCCTCCGCTCTGCGAGCATCGAACCCTGGTACATCAAGAACTTCGAGGAGAACGGATTCACATGTCGACGTGTTGGAGCCCGTTTCTCAGGTTCCTGCATTGACCGGTAAGTGCCTCACCACCGAGACAAATGAACAATCCGATGATGGTATCTAACTCTTGGCTAGTGTCAACATGTACGCGTCTACCTGGATCTGCACAAAGACAGAAGAAATTGAGAGCTTGACGCAAGAAAAGCGGTCGAATAGCGTGGATCACCTGGAGCTATAAACACAGAATGTTTTTCTTTATGGGTATGGGCAGTAGTATGGGCCTCTTTCTGAGTTTCGCAGGCGAATTCGTAAAATACACCAAACAGTCACCACCCTTTCTTCTTACTCCTCTTTACTTTATGACTTAGGTACCTCCAGTTTACTTCCGCTTTTTACCCCCTTGCTTTTGCGTCACATATTCTTATCTGGCTTCGTATACATTATACCCACGTTTTGCGCGTTTTGCTGTCGCTGGGTGCACGGATGGAGATTTTATGGCGTGTCTTTTTTCTGTATGAATACAACTAGATTGATGCAAAAGTGAGCGACGCCTACTTTATCTTGATCAATGGTCGCAGCGTTGAATAATATATCACACTTCACGAAGTGTTTTTTTTGTCTATTCGGTCCTACCAATATCATGCACGTATAGATATACAGTTCAGCTCTAATAGCGCTTAGAGCATAATAATCGACATTAGAACATGGCGAGGAGAAACGGAATCCACGATAATGCCCTGTACAGCGAAGCTCGACGAATAAGAATATCATCAAGAAAGAAAGAAAGGAAGGAAGAAAATCATGCATTATAAACTACATTTCGTCCTTTTTCCTCTATTGCGAATCCTGGCTCCGAACTGGCATCCGAGAAAACCAACAAAGTTCCTTTAGTATTGCACATCCATTAAAGACGAGGAAAGAGGATCGAAGTCAGAAAGAAACCGTCATCAAAAATGTCCAAGCGCACCCATGGGGATGGATGCAAATGCATACTCCGTACCGTCATCTCATCAGATAAGTAAGATAAAAAGGGCTGGCTGGGAGAAAGAAAAGAGTCTTATCCCATCCGCATCTATGAACGACCGTATCGAGTCTTTCCGATGGAGAAAGGCACGTAGCGGTACTTGATCATGTGTTGAATTTGTCGGCGCACTGCAGATTACGCGTTAATAATTATGCTCTCCAATATCCAGAATTCCACACAGGAGTACTCACTCGTCAAGACAAACAACAGGATCCAGTATACGACCAAGACAGGCCAGAAGACAGGAATATCAAAGATGGTGAACCAGGTGCAGACGAATCCGATGGCGAGGGCGCGCGTGGCGGAATGCCAGAACTTGAACTCGGGGAGACGTCGGATGAAAGGACGGAACTCGTCGTCCTGCTTTGTGGGGAGGCTAGGGGAGCCGGCGTCGCCGTCTTCGAGGCCCTCATCTTGTGTGAGGGAGGGATCAAATTTCGGTTGCAAGAAGAGGAGGAAGAGGTTGAGGAGGTAAATTCCAACGGTGTATGCGACTGTTAAGCAGAGCATGTTAGCCTTGAAAAATGTTGGGTTTGGCTCCAGTAGGTACGTACCAATATACCACCCCTGAGCGAGGACAATTCTCAGGAAGAAGACGAGAAGAAGAACAGCGGTGCCTATCCAGCGATAGGCTGTGAATGGCGTCGAGGCATCAAGGTAGGTTTGGTATTGCTATTAGAATCATTAGCATTGCTTAATTTCCTCTCACATTGAAACCACTCTGTAATTCAATCCCACAAGAGCCGGAATAGATGACATACTCTAGCAAGTTTCGAGGTTTGCGCGGAGACCGCAGTAAACGGCGTCTGCTCGGGCTCAGGGACATCCATTGCGACGGTTCGACGGTTCGACGGTTCGACGGTAGTAAGGTCGAAGAGGAGAGGGTAGGAGTCGACGGAACGGGTGAAGAAAAAGCGCACTCTCAGGACCGACGATAGCGCATTCAGGTCTCTCCCGGGGAAGTAGTTGTGATGTGATGGAGGCGGATGTGCAAAAGTTGTCCACTTCCAAACACCGGCGTGCGAACTCCAGCTTGGCCTGATCGGGACCTGCCCAGCCACAACCGAAGTTGCAGTGCTGCGCCTCAACGCCTCACGCTAGCCGCTTACGGAAATAGAATTGCTTAGCTAATAATCCGAGTCACGTGAAATTTACCTCGGAACTGAGGAGGCGGCTTGCATCGGCAATGCGGGGAATCTCCTAGCTCTCCCGTGCCGGAGCAACGACCTAGGTAGTTGACCATCTTGCAACCATTGCAGCTTCAAAACATTTCTGTTTCCCTTGTTAATGCCATTAATCCACGTACCTGGCAGCACACATCACCATGTTCGCCCGTCAAGCCCCCCGATTCTTCTCCGCTCGAACGACAACCTACTTTGCCCGCGTCCGCCTATACTCTTCCGCTTCTCCGAGCTATGAGCACATCCTCACCTCAATCCCGAAGCCAGGAGTCGGCCTGAGTACGTTCACACAACCAAATAGCACCTAAAGCACTAAAAAGCGAAGCCCCAATTCTAATTGCCATTGTTTATAGTCACCCTCAACCGCCCTAAAGCCCTCAACGCTCTCTCCAGCCCACTCTTCAAAGAAATCAACGATGCGCTTTCCAAATACGATGAAAGCAAGGACATCGGCGCTATCGTCATCACCGGAAGCGAGAAAGCCTTTGCCGGTAAATCCCAAATCCCAAAGTATCTGCCTATAAATATATATACACTAACGAGTGTAAAGCCGGCGCCGACATCAAGGAAATGGCCCCCCTAACCTTCTCTGCCGCCTACAGCAACAACTTCATAGCCCCTTGGTCGCACCTCGCAACCTCAATCCGGAAGCCCGTTATTGCCGCTGTGTCTGGCTACGCCCTTGGCGGTGGCTGCGAGCTTGCCCTGATGTGCGATGTCATCTACTGCACGGCCTCGGCCACCTTCGGACAGCCCGAAATCAAGCTTGGCGTTATCCCCGGAGCAGGAGGATCGCAACGCCTCACGGCTGCTGTGGGAAAGAGTAAGGCAATGGAGTTGATTTTGACAGGAAATAACTTTAGCGGAAAGGAGGCCGGAGAATGGGGTGTTGCGGCTAAGGTTGTTGACGGTGGGAAGGATGAGTTGCTTGGTGAGGCGCTTAAGACGGCGGAGAAGATTGCGGGATACAGCCAGGTTGCAACTGTTGCGGCGAAGGAGGTTGTGAATAAGAGCCAGGAGCTGGGAGTGAGGGAGGGAGTGGAATATGAGCGGAGATTGTTCCATGGGCTGTTTGGAAGTCAGGATCAGAAGATTGGTATGATTTCAACCCCCTTTTATATTTAGTTCTGGGCAAATGCTAACTGAGAACAGGCATGACTGCGTTCGCGGAGAAGAAGAAGCCTGAATGGTCGAACGAGTAAGAAGCTGCGCTCTATCTGTTGTTCTAAGCAACGGGATATAGGAAAATGAATTGAACTGGTATTATTATTATATCCAAAGGCATAATTAAACGCATTCGTTGCCTCGTATCGTATATATACATTCATTAATTAGTATTATGTGGTTCGTAGAGTATTAGTAGTAGCATGGTCATGAGAAGCAGTAGCTCAGAACACGCTACCTTGCATTTCTGCATCAATGGCTGGCCCATGCCTCTGGTTTTGGTAATCCTCAACCACCCGGCCCTCGAATGTCTCATCAAAGACATCAACTTGGGTATTTTTGAATTGGCGAGCACTGACCCGGCGCTCGAAGAGAAGGTCGAGCTCGGCAAACGTGCGGCCGCTGGGCTCAGGAACGCGAAAAAAGGTGTAGATGATGCACAGGAAGCAGATGCCTCCCCAGAAGAGACCGGCAAAATTGCCCCAGTCCCACGCAGTGGGGTTTACCATGTATGGTGTTAGAACGCCACAGATGATGGCAACAATGTTATACAGGATACGCCCTAGGACGACGGTTTTGATCTGTAGACGACGAGTGGAGATTTCCGCAACGAGCGAGTAGGCTACAGTTCCAACCGTTGACTGATAGAACAAAGCCCATATAAGCATCATTGATCCGGTTGCAAGGGAGGACTCAGTCCGATGCTCTTCTGGGACTAGACCAAGGAAGCCCATAACAAGCAGCATGACGCAGAGACCACATAGACCGTAGAGATAGAGCTTGCGGCGGCCGATGCCCCACGACATAAGGAACCATGCCCCGAATACACCGACCATATTGATGGCGTACTGTCCCATCGCAAACGAATATGCCGATTTGTCTGGGAGCCCTGCTTGCTGGAGGAAATATGTCGAGTAGTTGGAGAAAGAGTTCCCACTGAGATTCTGAATAGCCCACACCATGCAAACGATTTCCGTGCGACGCAGATCAACTCCCTTAAAGCAGTCCAGATAGCTAGCGCCGGTAGTGATCTTCTGTTCTAAAGCCGTGGTGTGGACCATCATGGCGACTGTCTCGTCCGCATTAAAATCGGTCTCTCCGTTTGAAGTTGTCAATCGTTGTAAAGATCTTTTCGCTTCCTGCGTCTTACCCTTCCGGACTAACCACCAAGGTGATTCGGGTGCTAGCCAAATTCCGATAAAGAGTGGTAGCGGCCACATCCATTGCAGTCCGTACGGGATGCGATAAGCCCATTCATCGTGACGATCGATCATAGCCCGGATCACGCCGACACCTATCAGTTGTCCCAAACCCCAGCAGAAGTTAACGTAGGTCGTAAGGTAGCTGCGCAGTGCAACCGGGCAGACTTCGGACGCATAGGTGACGCATAGTGTCTGGAAGACACCCCAAGGTATACCGGCGAGGATTTCCGCAGCGAGTAGCGCTTGAACGTTCGGAGCCGTAAAGAAGATGGCGGTCCAGGCGGTAATCAGGACAAGACATGTCATGACAGTGTATCGGTATCCAAATTTTTCAGAGGCCCAACCGTTGATCAAAAGGCCAATGATTTCTCCCACATACGCACCGTTACTCAAACCGGATTGCCACTATAAACCCCAGCCAATCGTCAGTAATAGTGTCAGACATCGAATTGAAGAGTATATTTACCCGTGCAGGAACCTGATACTTTCCATTAGAGCCCAGTTCGCCGTATTTGCGATTGAATTGCTCAAAAGCGTAAAAATTATTGACAAGCGAGATATCATAGCCCTCCATGGCAATGGTAGTAGAGATAATGACACTCCAAATAACGGCTTTTGGATAGAGTTTGATTCCCTGCCACAGGGTCATCTTCTGCTCCTTTTGAGCAGCCGACTTCGCATTTTCAACGACCTTAGCCATTGAATCCAGTGAGTCGTGACCACCGTGGGACGCTTCATCTTTGACTGGAGTGACCGCATCCTGAGTCTTGGAGGGCTCCATCATTCCGGAAACCCTTCAACGCGAGTATAATCGACTGAGACAAGGGAGCAATGCTGAAGCCTGACGCGCTGTCTGATTCACGAGAAAGATGGATCGGTAGAGATTTATATCCGTGACGGCCGGCGGGGGCACCGGGGGGGGGGGGGATCCACACTAGCCCACTCTCACAAAGATTTCTGCCGACCTGGAACGTGAGCAACGGAGCATCCAAGAGAAAGGAAAATGAAAAAAATGGATGCAACGCTAGCACTAATAGAGGATAATGCACCTGAAGGTAGCATTTTGACGGCTGGGGTTTGTGGGGAACAGACTATTGACCATGGAGGGGATTGCAGCCAAGCCCTCGGTGGTGTGCGGGTTCACGGGCCAGCTTTTCAAAACATTGAGAAAAGATCACTAGCTGGTCATGCGCGCATATACAAGACCAGGGAACACGGTCAGAACAACCGCAGGCATAGAGACAGGGGTTCAGAACTTTAATGTTGAAGATTCGGCAGTTGGTGGTCGAGCCTGGCGTGCGCGATGTCCGGATTCGGAACAGTCCAGGCTCGGCTCCAACTTGCAGGAACGCCACCCGTGGACAGCTTCGCCTTAGCGACACGAGGGAGTGCGCGGTTCTTTTTAATTCCAACCATTTCCAAAACTTCTGAGTGAAGGATGTGGGAAAGGAATTGAGTCTCAGGGAACGCCGCCTGGCAGTTGTCGGTGGTGACACCCCAGTATATAAGCCTTTTGAAGCCAGTGTATACACCGGAGTTATTCTATACTTGGCTTGATATTTAACAATTGCCAGGGCCGACGATTACTTAGTGTTCGAGTTTCTGGATTGAAACCAGGAACTTATCTAACCTTTCTGCGGCCCATATATTTCATACCCATCAGGGGTATGATGGGGTAGAGTGTATATGGTATCTCAGCACCAAGTGTGTTATGCTTTCTCGGCATAATATACTCTAGGTTCTAGCCCGCAGTGCTACAGCAGGTCCCTCATATAAGTCCAGCGGATGTAGTAGTATATCATGCGAGTTATCCCAAATGTCCAGCTCGAAGATCCTAAGAGGCAACTGAGTTGTTAACAATGAACTATGAGCCCGAAACAATGGCACAGCATCTGAAGGAGGCCAATGGTTTCCCCATATGCGCAAGTAACTATACCGTAGGTGTTCACGGGTATTTTTGAGCAAGGCGCTCAACTTCCGATTGTCGATTGCCTGGGTTAACCGGTACAAGAGAGCTGAAGTAAGTACGTACAAGTTATCTCATCGTCGGGGCCGAAGGCTTCTCGATCTTGGGACGAAAATGTGGCCTGATGTATTTGACAGCGTACGTTTCTGTACAACATTATTGGCTTTGATGTCGAAAAGGCTGAGCGAGTCCGCTAGTAACCGTAATTTCTCAAGGCCTAATTGTAATTGCCTGAACAACTGAAGAGTAGTTTCCCGGCGGAAATCGGCGCTCTCCAACCGGCGCTATTTCGGCGTGTGCCATGCCATCGAAGCCGATGGTAGCAGGTGTTGCGTTGCATACGGTGTGGTGCGTATAGTGTGGTGAGGCGAATCACGAAAAACAGTCGGGTAAGTCAATATACCTAGGAAATGATTAACTCGATGTGCTGCTACAGGAGAAGCCTAGAAGCCCTGCTGATTTTCCCATGATGATTGATTGGCAATGGGCAGAGTCGGCAGACGGTTCACGGAGCCGGGAGTGTCTGGAGATGCGGAGAGCACTGTTGGGGGATGGAAACGACAGTGGAGCTTTAGTCAGTGGAACAGGCCAGACATCTTGATTATTTAAAACGAACAATGGCCAGATTCAGTGATTAGTGACCGCCAAAGGGCCTGATTACCAACAAAATTGGTCTGGTTGGGGGCTGGCGGGCGTAATTGTTGCCTGTTTCGGGGAAGATGCGAGACGGAAGCGCTCCCGATTTCGCATTTCTTGGTGGAAAACAGGAAGTAAATGCGATCCATCTCGACAGACAACATGGATGAATATCTTCTTCAGCGGCTCTAGATAGTGACAAAGTATTCACAGCTGACATTCATTCATTAATTCACTTTTGAAGGGGCAAAGTAGAGATCGAGAGGGAGAGCTCGCGGGAAGCTCCGGGTTCCGAGCAAGGCTGGGATTCCGCCGAGTGACGATGCGAGTGAAGGATGATGTATTCCGCAATTATGGGATGCGGGGGGCTACGATGATCGCAGGCGTCTTTTTGGGGGCAAGAGACAGCGAACCGAGCAACGAAAGGTGACTCGGCTCGCTTTCTGAGGTGACGGGTGCCGTAAATGATCGGAATGGCTTTCCGTTTTCAAGGTGGAGCAGCCCGGTTGACATTTTAAACCCATCTGGTTGGCCAAAGCTGTCTGTATAGAAATTTCAGTGGGAAGCAGCACCGTGGACCCAGCTTGTTTTATATCTGGTATTCCACTGATTTCCCCTCACCTGGGAGCTGCCAGTATCCAACCTATATAAACCCCGCATCCCCTCCTAGCTTCCCTGTGCCTTCAGGTTTCTTTGATCTCAATTAGCACATAGCCAATCTTCTACCACCGCCACCATGGGCAAAGACGACGAGCAAAGTGGGTTTGGTTTCTCTTCGCAGCAAGCTTCTGGGTCAAAGCTGACATCTTTCAGAGACTTACCGTTACAATGAGACTCCGGTCTACACCACATCCAATGGCTGTCCTGTGGGTTCATCGTCGCAAAACGTGTTGGAGACGGACTAACACACGCAGGTAATGGACCCTCAAGCCTCCCAGCGAGTTGGCTCCAACGGGCCTCTCCTCCTCCAAGACTTCCACCTGATCGACCTTCTCGCCTCGTTCGACCGTGAGCGCATTCCTGAGCGAGTGGTCCACGCCAAGGGCGCTGGCGCCTATGGCGAGTTCGAAGTTACCGACGACATCAGCGACATCACGGTCATTGATATGCTCAAGGGAGTAGGCAAGAAGACCAAGAACTTTGTCCGTTTCTCAACTGTCGGGGGTGAAAAGGGTTCTCCCGACAGTGCGCGTGATCCTCGAGGATTTGCTCTTAAATTCTACACTGAGGAGGGTAACTGGGACTGGGTCTTCAACAACACTCCTGTCTTTTTTTTGCGCGATCCCAGCAAATTCCCCATGTTCATCCACACCCAAAAGCGCAACCCCCAAACCAACCTCAAGGATGCGACCATGTTCTGGGACTACCTCTCCACCCACCAGGAAGCTGTTCACCAGGTCATGCACCTCTTCAGTGACCGCGGCACCCCTTACTCTTACCGCCACATGAACGGCTACTCCGGCCACACCTACAAGTGGATCAAGCCCGACGGCACCTTCAACTACGTCCAGCTCCACCTAAAGACAGACCAGGGCAACAAGACCTTGACCGATGCTGAAGCCGGCCGTCTATCCGCTGAGAACCCTGACTGGCACACCCAGGACCTTTTCAGTGCCATCGCCCGCGGCGAGCACCCTTCGTGGACCTGCTACGTCCAGGTCCTGAGCCCCGAGCAGGCCCAAAAGTTCCGCTGGAACATCTTCGACCTCACCAAGGTCTGGCCTCAATCCGAAGTTCCCCTCCGCCGCTTCGGCCGCTTTACTCTCAACAAGAACCCTGAAAACTACTTCGCCGAAGTCGAGCAAGCCGCCTTCTCCCCCTCCCACATGGTCCCAGGTGTTGAAGCCTCTGCCGACCCGGTCCTCCAATCCCGCCTTTTCTCCTACCCAGACACCCACCGCCACCGTCTCGGAACCTCAAACTACCAGGCCATCCCCGTCAACTGCCCCCTCCGCTCCTTCACACCCTTCCACCGCGACGGCATCATGAGCGTCCACGGAAACCACGGCGCAAACCCGAACTACCCATCCACCTTCCGTCCTCTGCAATACAAGCCCGTAAAGGCCTCCCAGGAACACGAGAAGTGGGCCGGCGCTGTCGTCGCCGAGCAGATCCCCGTCACAGACGAGGACTACGTTCAGGCAAACGGCCTTTGGCAGGTTCTCGGCCGTCAGCCCGGACAGCAGGATAACTTCGTTGGTAACGTTGCGGGGCACCTGTGCAATGCCCACCCGAGGGTCCGCCAGGCGACGTACGGAATGTTCCGCCGTGTGAACCCCGACCTTGGCGCGAGACTTGAGAAGGCTACCGAAGGAAAAGCCACTGACGCTGCTAAGGCTCGTCTGTAATTCTAACTCGAACTGGTTATGTCTTTATAGAGCTTGGCAATGCGTTTTCTAAGAAATGATGATAGACATTTTATATACCTCCCCCGAGCCCCCATCCCAAAAGTCTACTGCTTGTAGTTGTAGTGGTTGTTCTTAAACTGATGGATTTTCAGTGCCAAGCGGAGGTCTGGCTGACTGACATATATTAATAAATTAAGTTGATATGCCGTGGAAGAACAAAGTAAAGTGACTAACCGAGATTTAACATAGTAACTACTACTGATCTAATGCTATGTGTGCTAAACCCAAAAAAGCGCTCCCGTAGGATCTAATCTTCCCTACTGGACCCAATTAAGTTGGACAATGGGAAGATATAAGTTTATGAAATAACAATATGGTGTATTCAAAACAAAGACCGAAAAGTGTAGCCCTAACGCCGTGAAGAACGCCAAATCCGAATCCAAGACAAGATATGCTAGTGAATTCGCAGTTCGTATATAGCCGTAAAAGGAAAATGCTTACCTCGAGGATTTCCTGGTTTCAAACTGGAAATGCTGGTGCTGGTGTGATGAGGTGGTGGTTGGCCGCAGCTGCGGTGTCATGAACTGCAGCTGCGGTGTCATAACAACCCCAGAAAAATCCCGGGGTTTCACATATGGAAGTTGAGGATGCGGAGGGAGGCGGGGTGGTCGGTGATGTGGGGTCGCGACAGCCAAACCATCCTGGATCCTTGCAGGTTGTTGTTGTTGTGGTGGCCGAGGTAGGATCATTGCACCCAAACCAGCCTGGGGTTTTACAGGTCGTTGTGGTTGTTGTGGTAGGCGCTTCAGTTGTAGTTGTTGTGGTTGACGTAGGATCCTTGCACCCAAACCAGCCCGGGGTTTTGCAGGTAGATGTGATCGTAGTGGTAGTTGTTGGAGGACTAGTGGTTGTACTCTCATCAAGGCAACCCCACCACCCAGGCGTTTTACAAGTCGTTGTCCGGGTCAATGTGGTCGATGTTGTTGAAGTAGGAGGCGAGCTTGTCGTTGTGCTTTCGGAGCCGTTACTGCGGAAGAATTTCCACAAATGACAGTCATAACACTCCTCCTCTGGCACACAATGCGGCACGTCATCATATACCTCAAGAACATCGGAGATAACAGCTTTGATGCGATGTGTGCCAATTGCAACGCGCCATCCCTTGTCTTCGACTGTGTCGTAAGTACATAGCCGGCCAGTGTGGCATGCGGACTCCATTGCATAGCCACCCCACGTACATATAGAGCTGACGCCGTTACAGGTTCCCATATAAACGGGATCCGCAGTGTGTCCGAAGTGATATACCCCTGTGTTTTCCCTCGTTTGGGGTAATTTTGGGTCCTTCCCTGGTGGGCTTGGCAAGCCTAATCGGGCAGCGGGAAGCGCCTCAGGGATAGCTTCAAAGGTGACAACAGGCAGTCCAAAGGTCAAACCGAGCAAGCTAGACATAGCACCCCCCAGTGAATGGCCCGTCAGCCACACATTTGCGTTCGGGTATAACTCGGTGACATTAGAATACAAGTCGATTGAGGCGCGGTAGTAACGGTTCTCGTCGCTCATAGCTTCAACGATGCAAGTCAAATTTGCATTGTACGCAGACTGTTGACAATCACAGACCTGTCGCCATAGGTAGGATCCACCTTGGCCGCAGCAGCAGCTGAAGAAGAGATTGTCATTCACCTTGTCGTTGGTGGTCGTCCCTGCACCGTCAAAAAGAGCGGGAGAGGTTCCCTTGAGCGAGATAACAATAGTACTGTTCGTATTATCCGCATATATGTGGCCACGGAGTCCATCGTTTTGCCAACCAAAACTAGTCGAGTAGTTAAGTTTGCCATTGACATCCTGCCAGTCCTCGGATCCGGGTACTTCAATATAGTCGTTCGCCGTCATCTTCGCCAAGGTCAAAACAGTATTTTTATCTGTAACATCAGGCCCTGCCACAGTGTCCATGGACCAGTCTGATGATGACAGAGTAACAGCCGATCCAGTGTTCCTTGCGGCCGTTAGGTGCCCCTCAATTGCGGATAGGCGTCGATCTGCCAGTCGTTCAATGGTAACGGGCTCGGAGGAGGCAACGAGTGGTATGTTAAAATCAGCCGGCTCAGAACCTTCTGTCCCATCTTCCGATACGGCTTGGAGTTGAGTATCCGGTTTGATGTCGAGCCGTCTGTGAAGGTCGGGGTGCTCGTAAGCCCCTCGCTGAACGATGTGGCGAAGGCTCTAAATTATGTTAGATTGTCTGTCCAGTTAATATGACCAAGTAAGAAGATAGAACTTACGAATTCATGTGATCCGGAGAGGGTGGGAGCATCTCCCAACGGAATTTGTGGTGGAAGGAAGGGGGATGACTCCTGTGAGCCGAAGTATACAGGGCGATAAGCAGAGACGCAAGAGAGCAGGACAAGAGACATAAGTATGGTGGTGGATCTCATGTTCATTAAGTGGCGCTTTCTCGTCCGCCTGCGAGGCTGGTCCATGATTAAGGGTGATAGTAAGGATGCAGACTAAGAAATGAGACGCAGATGTGTAGAGGCGTACTCGAGTCCAGGTCCAGGTCCAGGCACTTATCGGTGGGCGGACGGTGACGCACTGCGGAGAAGCGGTGATCACGTGCTCACAGGGATCGCGTCACGGGAACCTTGGAGGTGGGACAAGCACCTGAGGACCCAACCATCGAGTCAATCTCACCGTCAGCTTCCTTGGTCATGCAAGGTCTGGAGGGGCACTTAAATATGTGGAAAATTGATGCATAGACCTTGGCTATTATTACTTTTTCTGATCATCCCTCTGTCGCGGCGCCCCGAGCTCGAGAGTCTAATCTCCGGCCATCGACTGAGCTCCGGACTTGCTGCGGGGACAACTTGTGGGTTCGATGAGAGAAGGTAGCAGGCTACCTGACAACAGTATATTGACCTCGCTCTAAGACAATAATGTCGTCCGGTACCTCCGATAATGGCTCCGCAAAGCCTCGCTTGCATGCGACCCGCTCGTTCCCTCGAATGGATAATTCCAGCACCAGTCCCTTCATTCGGTCAAGGGCGAAAACGGTACAATCCGTCGCAATCCCAGAGTCGGTCGACGCGGATGCACTACCTCTCAGTTTGACAGAAAACGAAGGGAACGAGGATGGCGGTCTAGATTTGTTTGAGAAGCCAGGTACCTCAGGGCCCTCTGTGGACGATGAGGCAGATGGTGAGGAAGCTTCTGTGCTTTCACGAAACGTGCCGAACCAGCCAGAGGAGCTGCCGATTGAGTTAATTAGTCTTACTGACAGGTATGTTCTATTAGAATCCTATTATTTCTCAGTTGCTAATTCTTGTGTAGATTTGTTGCCTCCTTGAGCGCCCGAGTACACTCTTCCCCACCTACAATAGACAGAATATCAAACCTTTTCCAAGATTTCTACGTCCGAGCCGAATCACATATAGCAACACATATATCTGCACTTGCCTCCCGCATAAATCGTGATCCCTCGCCGTACCCGTCCAACAGTAAAGATGCAGATCCCTCCAGCCGCCAGATGTTAACGGCATCGGAAGTGACTGAAAAACGGACAGCTCGAAAGCTGCTTGCCTCCAAACAAGTTGAACTTGAAGAAGCTATAGAACGAAGAGCTTGTGAAAGCATTTATGAGAAGATATGGAGACATAAGAGCACCCTAGATGAGATCAGAGATGAAAAGTTGCGATCAAAAACAGCAGCGTTGCTTCTAGTTGGGATCAACCTAAGAGAGCTAGGTGTTGATATTGATATAAATTCAGTCGATGAGCAAAGCCAGAAGGAGGCTGACGAATGCTTCTCAACTGCTCGTGATTATCTCACAAAAATGGACGAGGACAAATATCCATTAGGGAAGCTCCGGCATCTTGCTGCAACCCACAAAGCGATCGTGGATGCCTTGACTAAGTTGTTACCTTCCTCTTCCTCTGCCGATGAGATTTTGCCAGCTCTAATATACACCTTGGTTACCTGCCCGCCTGAGGGAATCAACATCATAAGTAACCTTCTCTTTATTCAAAGATTTAGGACAAGCAGTAAGGTCGATGGTGAGACTGCATATTGCTTGACCAATCTGGAAGCTGCAATTTGCTTTCTTGAGAATGTGGACCTCTCCGAGCTGCGTGCAGAGGAAGGAGAAGAAGGCCAGGCAAAAGCTCCTGGGATTGATTCAGCACCACTTGCTGAAAACGCACGTTCTCCTCAGCCCGCTCCAGAGAAGCCCATATCATCCGTTTCGTCCGTGAATGCTTCTGCTGAACCCCCAAAGCCGATTGGAACCGAGCCGTCTGACACATTGCCGGGCCCAACACCACCCCATCAAGGTCGCTTGAATACCCTCTTGCAACCACCTGCAAAAGTTTTAGGGGCTGCAAATGATGCTGTCCGCAACACCGCTGATCAAGGATTGAAGAACATTAGCGCAACGCTTGACAGCAGCTTCAGCCTTTTATTCGGCCGTCTCAAAGAGCTCCAGTCTAATCAGATTTCCGGCAAAGATGGATCACCAGGACCTGTACTGCCAAAAACACTAGCGGAAGCTAGACGTCTAGTTACGTCCCCGGCATCCAGTGACACTGCGCAGTTGAATAATGAGGCAGGTGTCGTGAAAGAACCATTGCTCCCAGAGCAGTCCCGATTGAGACGGATCGGATCCAAGGCGGAGGACACCTTCACAGGCCTGGTCGGTGGACAGAGGACTCCTCGTGATAGAAGTACGGATAGTGTGCGAACACAGGGATCCAAAGCATCAATACCTACTTCGAACCTTTCGAAAGATGATGTCCGGGCCAACCCCAATCCTGCGTTATCAACTCCCACGCTTGAGTCTGTGAGGAGCTTTGGGAACACACTCAACCCGCTTAATCATATTCCCGGGATGATAAGAGGCTTTGGTCGTGCTACACCCGAATCACCCGCGTTGCCTTCTCCCTCAAATCGGACGAAGGCACCGCCATCTACGAGTGACACCAAAGTTGATCCGCCAATCCAAAGGTTTCTCCAGGTTCAAAATGCGAACGAGCTTACAATCGGGGATGTAGGCGTTTTACTTGAAGATTACAAACGTATATCTGCAGCACTCTTGAAGCAGAGCTCCGGTTCCAAATAACGCCTTCCACTGATACCAGGTGAAGGGTCATTCGGTCCACATTTCTTCTCAAGACTTCCGTCAAGGGGTCCTTTGGCCTGATACATTTGTACTTGTTAATTCTGGGCCACCGCTGGTTTCGGTGATTCGGATAGGTTGTCTCGCATTGACATTTTAAAGCGATTTTGGCGTAAATTGGAGTAAAGCAACGTCTCCGCCGCAAATGTACTTCTGAAAAGGGGTATATTGATGCTCTTAATAGATGCTTAGGTATTTCTCCGCTGAAAGAAACATGACGGCAATTGAAGTAGGCGTTTCACAGCAAAAAGGACAACCATCCTCACATAACATATTATTAGCCTTTCGCTTCGCTTTATCCCATGCAGAAAAGGCAAAAGAAATACTATCATAATAAGGCGTAACTTGCAAGGAAGAGGGCGACTGTAAGAAATATTGATGGGAAGGCTCTCAAGGCGAACGCCCACGAAGGACCTCTGCACCACCTGCCCTCATCTCTTCAAACTTTCCAGTGATCTCCGTCGACTGCTCCTCAACCATCTCATGTCTCCTTCTAACCTCAGCCTCAAACACAGCCGCAGTTTTACGACGTGCGTGACGCAAGTCCTTCATCTTCACCATCATCTTACTGAACTCCTCGATTAGTAAATCGCCACATCCTTCCCACTCATTCACTGAAAGCTTCGAGAAGTATTCTCTGCGCTCTTGCTCGGAGAGCCGTAGAAGGAATGAGACCTTATCTTCTTCGTTTCCTTTCTCAGGAGAATGCTGTGCCTGAGTTTCCTTGGCTGGCCTAGATGCTCTAGGAGTGGGGGCATGGTCAAATGGCTCGGCTTGGAGTTCACTGAAGGATTTGGTGCATAAAATTTCGGGTGGGTAGTCGGGTTCGAGGTTGCGTTTCCTTGCTTTAGGCGTCTCTTCTGTCCCAATGCGTCTCACAGAATTGCGACGCGAAAATGGGTCGTTCATCGAGGAGTCGTTTTCAAGATCATCGAAGTTTGTCATATCGAAGACATTGAGGGACTGGAGACTATCATCTGGATGGGTATTGTTGTCATCTGTGAATAGACCTAGGCCTTCGTCTGCGACTCTAAGGAAGTCGTCTGCTGCTTTATTGTTTTCCTTCTCTCTTTCTCTGTCACTGTCCCTTTCTCGCTCTTTTCGAGAATGAGACCGAGTAAGGTTGGGGCTCCGCCGCGTGGGGGTGAGATCCAATTGGTCAAGTAGAGACGGCTTAGGCGGACTAAATCTAGTCCTAGGGGTTGTTGTTTTGCTTCGTGTAAGGGTTACTTTTCTGCCACTAGCAGGAAGAGGCTTTGAGGCCGATGCAACTGGGATGAGGGACGGGGGTTTGGTTGGCTCGGTATGTTCCTCGGCATCAGATTGATATGTTCTCCGACTGGCAGACCAGAAGTTCTGTAGCTTTCTATTAAAAGGCTCTTCACCGCCGCGGTACCTAGGAACGTGACGTTGGTCATCTGTATCGTTTGACTGCTCATCGTCGCCAGCTGTGGAAGTAAGCTGGCTTGTGGCGTCCAAGTCGTCCAAGTCAAATCCAGCGGACTTTAGCGCTCTATCACCTAGACCCTCGTACCATTTGGACTCATTTGCACGACGAGCTGCACGGAGCTGACGTGGAGGCGATGGTGACGGCCGTGACAGCGGCTGGGGTGGCGGGAGCTGAACAGGCACATTCACATTTGGACGAATAGTGGGTGACAATCGGTATGGCTCTTCATCAATTCCAACCACACTTGTTGCTGCAATTGTCGATTCATCAATACCTTCCACATCAGTGTCGAAGGCATCTCTGTGGGCAAGTTGCTCGGCAGGCCCATTGTCCTGAAATGGTGTGCCATATCGATCTATTGGCGCCTGTCTATTAGTTGAAATGGGGATGGGCGCAACCAGGGCTGTTTGAGGAACTTCAACACGAGCCTGCTCAGCTAACTTCTTCCTGGTCTGGTTTGTGGGCACATCTGCCCGATGATGGTGCTGGCGATTCTCCTTTGAGTGCACATAGTCCCCGACGCCCATGTTTAATTGAGTTTAACTTGGATGCGGGGAGAAAAGGTGAATGACATGCCGAGGATGCAAGGCCAGATATTGTACGGGTTAAATAAGGCGGAATATATTCGTATTTGTCCCAATTGGTCTTCCCGTGGATGACTTGAAGTTGGGAGGTTTCAATGTTTCTGGGCTGGCGTTGTTCGAAATTCATGCGAGACGAGACGCGTTGGGTCCTCAGGCACGCGATGGCTTGGCACCAGCACATAGTACTCCTACCACAGCACCAATACAACCAGGGTGAATGCTTGATTCTTCGTATTCTCTTTTCATATTTCGGGTATTTGGTGGAATAAAATGTGATATTGCCATATTGCCATACGTATCCATAACTACATAGTATATGTAAGAGTATTGCATGTACAAGTAAACGTTTTATTTATACATCGGGGGTAGATCTCTATCCCTCCAAAATCAATTGGAATCGGATGACATCCCGTTGACGATGTGCAGGTCCTGCATTTTGGAAGCAACTCCCCGCTTCCGTTGTTGGGCCTTATCCATGTATTCTTTCGACTTGGCAATTTCCAGTTCTCTCTTCTCCATGGCCGCTCGTCGCTCTTGTCTCGCTTCCACATTATTAGGCTTCGTCGTGGACATGAAAACATCAGTATCGTCATCAACATTGCCCATTCCGGGATAATTAACTTCGTCTTCATCAACACTGTCTCGAGAAGAAAGGCTTGAAATGAGCAGATCGGCGATCCAGAGAGACACCATGCTCCGCAGCTCAAGCAATTCCGAGCTGTCTGAGTACGGGGGCGATGTAAGAAGCCCGTCCATCCTCGCGGAAATCCTATAGGCTTCGGCCAATTCCTTCGCTCTTATGCCAGCTGTGAGCCTTTGATACTTCTCCTGGCAGTCGTCTCGACTGCCGTTCTCAGAGTTGGCGTCTTCGTCTTCCCAGGGTTCCCTCAGCGAGGCTGGATCTCGGTCATCGAGATCTCTGTGTGCAGCCGCGCTTTCCTCTTGTGTAACGTATACCCATAAGCCAAACATGGCTGGATAAAAGTGCAATTCATTTATGGCGTTCGGCGCATGCTTTTGATATGGATGCTGAATTATGAGTGTCTCGTAGTATTCCTTGGCATCTTCGAACCCTTTCCTAGTGAATAGAAGCCTTGAGATAGTACCAGCCTCGTTATTTCCATCGCTGTCGGCTAATGCGCCTTCAGATATCCTGCTAGATATCTGTTGGTCTTTCCGCAGTAATATTTCTGCGCCAATACCCCATCGATCCTCGGCACGCACATCAATTGGTTGGCCTCTAAATTGTTCTCGAATTAACAGGCCCCATGCCTTACCCGCGCGGATATAATCGCCATCGAGAAGACACCGATGAAGCACAGAAGTAAGCACCGAAAGGTGGTGAAGCCGGAGATTCCCTTGATGTGCTGAAGACTGAGGCGCATATAAAGGGGGTGAGAGGTTCGACAACTGCTTCTCAATTGAGCGACGACTGTTTAGTTTTTGGTTCTCTTCTTTGGCCGGGCCGTGTGGGAAATGGCCACCGGGTAATTCCTCGTCAATAGGGAGACCTGCAACGCGGTACTGGCCGACCTCCTCAGGAGATAAGATCACAGATGTGTCTGTGGGTCCGAACTCCGACACAGCATCGGTGGTTTCGCCATCCTCGCCGTTATTGTCGCTTTCTTCTTCTCCTGTGTGATACTGGTTCTTGCGCTTCCTAGATTCATACTTCGCAACCCGAACACTTGGATCTTGTTGCCAGAAAGGAAGTGGTAGAGAGAAGGCTGATGCCGAAGGAACAAATGCCATGGGGAATTCTCTGGTTGTCGAGGACTCGCTCGTTTCCCATTCAAAAGCTGGAACACGTCCCCCCAATGGTGTACGGCTAGGTAATCATCTGGCTGATGTTCAGCTCGTGAGTGACGAATCTGCTTTAGTTCATTTATAGGCTCTTGACATGTGCGCCTTGTTATTAGCCACCATAAGCAAAGGGGTCAAATGATGTGGTGTATGCTAGCAGCTTCAAGACGGATCGTCAAATGTCCAGCGCAAGCCAAGCTCTGTACATTTTGCTTGCAAGCTTCAAGGCGTCAAGGCATCCGCATCAGGCCCACTATTTCCAGAAAGCTTACACGTGATCTTTACTAATGTATACGCTATCACATGATCATCAGGAACCAGTTCGGAAACATGCTAGCGGCCCGGATAATTACTTTTTCCATTCTTACCTGATCGGTAATTGCTAATACCACGCTGTTTGAGACTAGACCCGATACGAAGAACCGAAACCGCCGCGGAGTCCAGCGCGCCCTGTCTGTGATGCGCTGCCACTCCTTTCCATGCTCTGGGTTATTTATATTCTTGGGATGATTCGTAGAGGCCAACCAAATCAATTTTCAGGGTCATAGGTATCGGATGCTGAAGCGAAACAGATTCATAAGTACTGCGTCGTGGCATCGATGAGCCATTACTAACCTGGTACGGAGGACTACATGTAATAATAATCAGCCCTTGTACAACTTGTCAGCAGCCGACCGGAAGGAGGAACGTTATGGCTCACCTGCCTTCAGCATCAACCATCAACGTCGTCACATCATCTACCCTCAACCCTTCTCCTCACTCCAACGCTGTTTTCACCACCCCTCCGCCTTAATTAACCAGACTCCTCCCTTCCTTTCGCCTGGACCGTGTGTTCCCTCCCTCCACGTTACAGTTCACATAGCTAGCGCGGCGATCGTAGAACACCCGTTTCCGTGGTCCTTGATCGTCGACCTCCCATATCTCGCCGGACATCTGGCGTTTGTCGTGCCGCTTATTCCTACCACCTTCGAATTCAAAACGTACGTCTAGTCAACTGCACTCGGGAACCTCGGATACTGGCACTTTCTCCAACTCAACCGCAGCCGCTGCAGCCTCCGATAGAGCCCGCTTCAATAGACACCCGAAAGGCTGCGGCCTGCGGCCTTACTTCTTCTCAGCCCGCCGAGACGTGACATACATCCCTTTTTGCACACAAACACCGAGACGTTAATAGGAAACCGGGGTGGGCGCTTTATCAGGTACTGTAACTTGAACTTTCCAATGGTAAGTTCATGATTTGGTTCATTCGGTTCTCGAAACCGGGGGCGGCGTTGAGTGTGCAGCGTGCAGCTTTCGAAGTTTCGTCATCGCCTCAATAGCGAAATTGACTGCCTTGCTTTCCATGGTGGTACTGATATTATCCACTGCCTCCTTCATTTCTCTTCACTGACCTTTCCTCCGCTAAGTTCGTTCTCGATGAGCTCTTACTAATTCGAACGCACTGTTAGTCATCGTGCCCCGAATGGCAATAGGTGGTTTCTAAGCTTCCATCGCCACATCCAGATTATTAGCCTATGCTACTATGGGCCAGTCTTCTTCTACTCAAAGAGAACAACGCCATCAATTTCCTACCGAACATACCATACCTCATCAGCGCAGTTCCACCCGTAATAGGCATGAAGACATGAATAACGGGCACAACACGGAGCAGGTAGGGGACATTGATCCCCTGACAAGTCAAGAAGCAGGCAGTAGCGATGTGCCGATGATTCATCCTGGCGAAATGTCTTTGCCGTCTGAATCATGGCAATCGCCAATCGCAACCTCTGGCGACATACCGGGCCTTTCAAGGCAAATGGGAAATATTCAGGAAGAGACCGGGTCACAGTATGGAGCCAGCCAGCAGGATATTCAGTCGGCGATCCTTGCTCGAGTGGCGAGAAGGCAGTCCGCGATGTCAAGATTGGGATCGAGGATTTTGCCAAACTCTGTTATTCGTGGGCTTTTAAATAGTGAGGAAGAGACTCCGGCGGAAGGCCACGCCCACCGACATGGGATTGTCTCCAGGACTATACCAAGATCGGAGGTCAATCAAAGTAGCCCCCGGTTCAGCCCTTTCGCGTCCTTGAGCTCGAGAGGTGGGAATCGAAGACGCTCGTTCCGTGGTCCCTATTTTAATCCGCGTAGTGATGCAGGGATGAACTCGCATAGCGGATATCCAGGGATGTCTTCCAGTGTCTCGACCGAAAGCCCAGCTGAAGCTGGAGGGTGGCGGCGAAGCGTTCGACTACGCCGTGTTGGACACTCTATATCAACGCCGATCGCCCAAATGTTCGGCCAGCCATCCCCTGGCCCGTCTCAGGAACAAGGTCCCGAGAACGCCCCCATTTTCCACAATCCAGACCCCGTGGACTTTATTCCTCAACCGGGCCCAATTGATACTCGCATGGATTTTGACTCACCGCATGAACTTGATTCTGGGGAACCCGCGCTAGGCGACCAGCAGCCCACATCCCCTTTGCTGTCGTCGCAAACCCACCCCAGTGCGCGGCATTTTCCGAGTCTACTACGGGCACGGCCATCAAGGGCTTTGCGCCGGGAAGAACAAACACCCCTATCGCGCGTTCTTCAGCTTGCGGCTACTGCCATCGCGGCGCAACTTTCCGGTGGACCTAGCCCAGCCTTACCCAATATCCAATCTTTGGGAAATAACAACGATGGTCAGGACGGCTCTCTAGAAAGCTTCATACAGAGTTTACAGCGTGCCACCTCTGGTCCACAACCTCCTGCAGATACACCTGATACTCGAGAGGAGGAACCGCCCCCAACGCCTGTTAATTTCATGAGAGTATTCCGGTTCGCTAATTCAGATAGCCCCCGCTCCCCTGACGCATCCAATCGCGCAAGAGCGGAACCAGGCGATGCTCCGAATAATGAAGGCAATATGGACACGGATCACCATGCGGACGGACCCGAAGGTCGAACAGTCACTCTTGTTGTTGTTGGCGTGAGGTCCGTTCCATCTGGAAACAGTCCATCGCCTGGCGATCAACAACCCCCGGCACTGCCTGGTTTGGATGCCCTCCTCCGGCTTCCTTTCTTAGCTCCGGGAGCCTTCCCACCTCGACGCCCAGCAGCGACCACCACGTCTAGTCGCCCGACACCCCCCGGTGTGTCCAGTAATGATGATATTCCCCCACCACTGGGATCGTCGAATACATTGCGAAGACTGTCAGATGCCGGTAGTCGTGGTCCTCCCTCATCACTACCCTCCATTGTATCGGACAGCCCTCCAGGTCCCCATCCACCTCCATCGACCCCGGCGGAACCGGGACTCTCCGCTGTTTCGTCTGGTGCTTCAACCCCCAGCCGGAGGTTATCGACCGCCTCGGCCATGTCCCCAAATGTTTTACCACAGTTGAATGAAAACCGCTCCATGCAGCCTGCTGTGGAGACTTCAGATGAGGCCTTCCCGCCCAGCACTTCTCATCAGCGACGTCGAAGTGACTCTGAGTTTGCGCGCCACCGCGAGCAATTGGGCTCTGGGGCCGCCAGGCGTAACGGAGTTGTGGAACCTGATAATCATAATGCACCAACTGGTAGAAGTTGGTTAATCTACGTTGTTGGAACTAACCTCTCGGAGAACCACCCTGCATTTGCTGCGCCGAGCCTGTTTACTGATGTAAGTAATCCATTTAGTCGCCTGCCAGTTTCGTTTGCTAAAACCCGAGTTCAGAACCCGACCTACGAAGATATGATCTTACTCTCATCACTTCTTGGCCCCGTCAAGCCCCCGGTGGCTACCCAAGAAGACTTAACCTCCGCGGGAGGGTTGTACCGTGTGGTAGAATATGGAGGCTCTCTTTCTGCGGAGTCAGCTGATCACTCGGGTGCTATTCAGCTCACAGAAGGTGAACGCTGTTTAATCTGCCTCAGCGAATACGAAGCGGCGGAAGAGGTTCGCCAGCTGACGAAATGCGAACACATCTATCACCGGATATGCATTGATCAGGTACGTTTCATTCGGCCTTTTGTCGTTTGGTATTTCTGGACTCGAAACTTATCTTATCTAGTGGTTAACAACGGGTCGCAATTCCTGTCCGCTATGTCGAGGTCAGGGTGTCAAGGACAAGTCCGGTGCTGGGCCATCAGCGTCTGACACGCCACGCGCAACGGCTGCTTAGCCACATACTGTCTTACGGCCGTTACCGCCAGGGTTTCTTTTTTTTCGTCACGTAAAATTTAGCATGGCGCTCTTTACCATTTCTCCCTTTGTCGTTCTTAGCTTCCGATATCCACTGCTGCATCACTTCATTTGATTTTGGTTGTTGGGGTCCGGATACATTTCAAGTCAAACCAGTGTTCATGATTGGGGTTTGAATCAGGCTATATCAGCTGTACTGTGTACGAGCTTGAGTAGGATCTTCTTTGGTTTGGCAGGGAAGGAGATATCTCGTTTACCTTCATGGGGCTGTATTACTTTCTCCGTTTGCATAGAACATTTAGCATAACTCAATATGAACATTCATGGCAATTTATCTGGAAATGCTCTATGATCAACGTAAGAAAAGAAGTGCACGTCTTTCTCATTTTACATGGCTATGGGAGGCTTATTTATGCGTACATCTGAACGCTAACAATAAGCGAGACTTCCCGTGCAACCTTAATGAAGATTCCTTTGCTCACTGCTCAAAAGGTGAGACACCCTCCTTCACCGACATTGTCAGTGTCAATGTCGACAATTCCACAAGGACTGGCTCAAGTCCGTTCTTAACTGTCAAATTGTGCCCCGCATTCGGCGTTGATGACTCAGCCAACATGCCCCGCGCTCAAATTGATCGGAGCTTGGTTGATATCATCATCACATTCAACTTTTCAGCCAATTGACCCATCCAGAGGCGCACATACGTCTGTAAACCGCCTCCAATTTACTTATAGAGTGCATACTGTCGTTGTTAAACCCGAACGTGGCCAACCACCCAAAATATCATCCGGAAAAAACCGACCTAATCAACACCGAAATCGGCAATCGAAACCGCTCGCGAGCTCTGGAGACAAGGACGACAATAAAACGAAAACCAAAAATTTAAAGCTAGAATAGACACAGAAGATGAATCCTATCCGAGTAACGGTCCTCATATCCGGCTCCGGAACAAACCTCCAGGCTGTGATCGATGACACAACACTCCCTGCAAAAATCATCCGGGTCATCTCCAACCGCAAAGACGCCTTCGGTTTGGAGCGTGCACGCCGCGCTGACATCCCCACGCACTATCACAACCTCGTGAAATACAAAAAACAGCAACCCGCAACACCGGAGGGTGTGCAGCGTGCAAGGGAAGAGTATGATGCCGAGCTTGCGAGACTAGTGTTAGAGGATAAGCCCGACTTGGTTGCTTGTTTGGGGTTCATGCATGTTCTTTCGGAGGGTTTCTTGGGACCGTTAGAGGCGAAGGGCCTTAGAATTATCAACTTGCATCCGGCTTTGCCGGGGGAGTTTAATGGAGCTGTATGTTTTCTGTCCCGGTCAAGCTACTTATCTATCCTTTTCTTCACGTTTGAGTGGTGTTTGCTGACTTACTATTCATCCAGAATGCCATTGAGCGGGCCCATCAGGCATGGTTGGATGGTAAGACTGAGAGAACCGGAGTCATGATTCATAATGTGATTTCAGAAGTGGATATGGGGAAGCCGATTCTTGTAAAGGAAATTCCGTTTGTGAAAGGCGTTGATGAGGATCTACATACGTTTGAACAGAAAGTGCATGAGATTGAGTGGGGGGTTGTCATTGAAGGATTGCAGAAGACGATTGAAGAAATCCGCTCGACGAAGTCATAGGTTTTAGGTGTCTGACCATTAGGTTTAGGATGTTTCACCATTAAAGAACGGGATACGGATTGCGGGTATGGAGAAACGGCATCATGATACCAATTTGTATTATAGCTTGCTAGCCCACGTTTTATAGAGTATGAATATCATTTGGCCATCAATTGCCAGGCCTCGTCAATGTCAATAAGAAGTATAGCCGTCAGATAGTGAGATATTTCTGGCCTCGACGGTACAACTATACCTTTCTCATGTTGTGCAGGACAGCTGACTCTTCGCGTTTGTGCAACTGACCCCAATCTTGGAGTTTGATTTTCCACCGAAAACATCAACCACGAAAGGATCAACTGGAGCAAGCAACGACCCAGTCCCCAAGTCTTCTAATTTCTCAACAAATTGTCACGCGGATGTTGAGTACCTGTCTTGTTTTAGGGTTTATTTGATTTCATAACTTGCCCTTCTCGTTTGTTTCCATCGATGCAGGCCACTTGAGAAACTATGTCCAGGTGCGCTGCAGTAACACTAACCAACCCATCTGCCACCGCATGTCAGCTTGTCAAGTTGGAATATCCCTTTTGAAATGGGGTGAGGTTGCGGTCGAAAGTACTGAAAACGGAGATGATATGCTGTCATCGACTAATGCAAGTACGAGCCTTAGACTACCCTAGAATTCCCTGTGGATCGTCCTCCACCGTTCAGGCAGGAAAGATGTGTGGCTTGGCTGGCTTCACCTGTTTCCCGATCCCATCATCCCAGTCGGCATCTTCGTCATGGTCCCCTCCGAATTACCAGGTGGAATGGATCCCGAATGCCTACCAGGATGGCGATCCTTCAGTTGCATTATGGATTTCCAGGATCACCGCCACTGAACGTGTTCAAGTCACTCGTCGACTAGCTGGCGCGCCTTGGGCCTTGTCCAAGACTATGAGGCCGTTTGGTTTGTGGGTCCACGAATAATCTCGAATTTTCGACCAGGAGGCAGACGACAAACAGTACTCTGTCCATTTTAAGGGAAGATGAGATACCGTTGAGCCCTATTATTGGAAGCTTAAGAAGCCGTGATCCGAGGCCCAAGCTCAACAATCAGCAAGCCCGATAAATAGCGCTAAACTGGGCTTCGGTGTTCAGGATCAAAATCAACGAAGCCACTCTTTCAATCCCCGACAAGGGTTCATTCCTTTGGGGAAGGACAGGAATCACCATTCATCGCGCAAGAGAGGCCGTGCTACTCTTCCTGTCTTACGGCCGAGGATGAAGCCTGCCCTCCTGCCTAGGTTGTCGCGGAGCATTAGCGCTGGACTATTCAAGTAAGTTGGAGCATAACTGAACTTAATAATGCATTATGCTGCATCAGTCTGAAGTCTAAGGATATTACGGAGTACCAAGGTATTTTTTATACTTCACCGAGTCATTGACCGCTGACATGCGAAAACGAGGCTAGAAATCCACCTGTCATGATCCTGTTAAGAAGTCGAATCTTGATCATGAACGTGAATCTTAATTTCCCAGCCAGAAAATGTTCCTCCACTTTCATTGAGTGACAACCAGTTATCCACCAGTAGACAACACCGGTGTACGGACGATGGAGAACGGGCCAAGGTACCAAGTTTCCACCTTGCACCTCCCACGTCCGTGCTGTCCGTGGCTAGTTTGATTTGGGGGAGTAAGGCCAATGGTTGGCCCGAGATGCTGGAAATTAAACCGCCAGTTCCGAGGCAAGAAATCAACCATTGGAACCAAAAATATCTTTGGTCGCGGCATCCGCCGCCGTACGAAAGGACCGACGGGGAAAGCTTCCTGGGAGCTGTCAGATCCTTCTGCACGTACTCGGCGAACAAAGCTCCTCCCAGTTGCCACTGAATTCAGATATTTCCCTTGTGATAGGGGTTTCGTTCGGCTTTACAGGGAAGGTTGAAACGTGAAAGGTACAGAGTACAGACGAGCTCCTTGGCCACTTCCGGGATTCAGAGCAGGAGGCTCAGTCATTTTCCGGTTCCACCAGCTGAGCAAATAATGATTCGGCAACCATATCAACTACGTATTTAACCGGCGATACCTAGGTTGCGGCCCAAAAACATCCGTGAGTCCCCGTGTCAGACCATTCGAGGAATTGTCGAGTGTCGACGAAATAACAAGCTTAGCCATGTCCCGGATTCGCTCGTTTCTCTGGTGATTTGCACAGGGGTCAAGTCAACACGCACTCTACATGAGTCAGGACTGACAAAATGTAAGGTTCTCCAGAGAACAACATCTTGAATCTTGAACTTTCCTTTCTTCCGAGGGAGAGAAAGGCGCTTGAGCCCGACATCTGTTCTCGAGTCTCGACTTTTTGACTAATGCCGTTCAATCAGATCCCACTGCTACCCACTTTGCAGCGTTGCAATTTCAATGGAGCATCAAAGTTGCCATCAAGACTCAGCATTTACCTTCTTTTCCGAGAAGTTCCATGCGCAAGACAGGACCAACTTTTTTGGTTCATCCAATGTAGGAAGCTTATGGCCCACCGCACCTATATGATGCACCTAATAATGCAGTTTAGTCAAGAATAAAGGCGGAGATGAACAAGGAGCCGGCATCTTGGCTCCCTTCACTGTTTCATCATAAACTCTCAAGCGCCGAATCATAAAAACGCGATTCCGAGGAGGAAAAGAGTCCCAGAATGTGACTGAACTCCGTCATTTGGGTCAGTTCCACCTGTCAGGGCCACTAAGGGGATGGTATTAACCACTTAAGGACTAGCTGACCCTCCATCGCCGTCTATCTCGGTCCTTCGGGGGCTATCAGCTCTCGTCCCCGGACTCAAACTGACCATGCGCAAACATCCTGTTCTGTTTGTTACTCTGCTTTGTGCTTTTTGGCCCCCTCGGTGTGAGCTGTCTCCTGCACTGGCTCAGATGACCGGTAACCCTTGCAACTTGAGCACAGGGATTCTGATGCTTACCCCAGGAATGGGCCAAGGTACGACCACGAGGTATTGGAATGCTCGAGTCGACGATGACACGCTGATCCATAGGGTTGATCACAGCGCCATTCCAAAAATAAAAAAAAAAAGTAAAACCCCAAGGGCCATCCATCCATCCATGTCATAATTTCGATTGTATAATAGCCGGGTCTATTAAGGAACAGAATTAATAGCTTGGTTCCAAGGGTTGTGGTACTAGCCGTAGTGTGCGCCAGGTCTGACAGAACTGGTGATGCAGTGACTGCCCCTTCCGGTGATCTGCCCCCCCGACTTCAACAATCTGATCTGACCTCTCGCCTTCTTCTTCACAACTTCAACTCTCCTCGCTCCTCTCCCGGATTATCGTCTTCGGACGCTGGCGAAACTCAACCCTCGTTCCTTTCTGTTGTGTTCGCTCCTTCTGTCGCTTTGCTTCATCTCCGTTCCGCCATCCAGTTTCGTGCGTCTCGCCACCGCGTTCTCTGTACCACGACCAAGGATGCATAGCTTTCTCTATCCGGTTTCGCCCTAAGCTGTTTACTCTTCTCTCTCGTCTTTTTGGCCTATGACGAACCCCTCGCTCCCCGGTTTGCTCGCCTCTTGGATGCAATATCGCTCTCTGCCACTATGGCACATTCCTTCCACCCGTCTCAAGCCTCCATGACGGGCTACACCCAGGAGCCGCCGCCTCTTTCAGCATATTCAATATTAGGCCAGAATCAGTATCCGGAGAGCGTTGCGCTTTGGCACAGTCCATCAACCCAGCCGCAGCAAGAGCCGCAGTCGCAGTCGCAGATTCCTGCAGCTCCATTCACACCAGTGACCCCCAAAACGTCATCTCTTCTTCAGCCATTACCGGATCAGAAAAAGCACAAACGTACGAGAAGTGGCTGCTTTACTTGCCGATCCCGTCGAATCAAATGCGATGAAAACCGGCCGGTTTGTGAGCGATGTCGAAAAGGCAACCGAGAGTGTGTCTACCCTACTTCAACAACGGGTCCAGCTTCGAAATCTGCACCGCGGTCCGTGGCCAAGTCCAAAGCTTCTCGGCCGCAATCCCGTGGGAGTGACTCTTCGGGCCATGTTGAGGCGGATGAAGCTACCAGCACCTTAGAGCCCATTGTGGATGAGGGAGAGGAGGCGGAAGGTAGCCCGGAGTCGAGTACCCATCAATCCCCGACTACGACCTTAGGACCCACCATTCCAACTGAATCGAAATCGAAATCATCTAAAAAGAAGAGCAACCAATCTTTACGCCGACACAAAACGAAACCACAGACCGTGGAAACTACAGACCCACTACCCGGTCGCAAAGAGAGCAGCAGCTCACCTTCGACGGAGGCCTCCTCCCGATTTGGATCAATCAGTGCACGCTCGGACAGTGTTGGTTTCTATCCTTTCGACACTGCTGGTGACCCTACTACGGCCCACTTTCCCGAGGATATCCGTTTCTACCTCTCGTACCACAAGGACTCCATAACCTATCGACATTATTTCTTGCACACCCGCAGTGCTAACTTTGTGGACCAAACCGTCGTCGGTTATGCGCTACAGTATGAGCCCTTGCTGTATGCTATCGTTGGATTCTCGGCCTACCATCATTGCGTGCAAACGAGTACAGGAAATTTATACACGTTTCTTAAATATTACAACAGGGCTTTATCGCTCTTGCGGAGATCACTAGGTTCTGGAGAGCCATATAGTGAAGCAACACTGGCTACTGTGCTCGTACTCACTACTTTTGAGGTATGTTAGATTGTTCATGCTGCGTGGAATACTAGAATCGTCCCTGCATCTTTCTCCGACTTTTGCTTACAGTTCCTCCCCGTGCAGGAATTTATAGGTGATTGGGTCAATCTGATTGACCACCATCAGGCAGCTCATGTCTTGATTCGCGAGCTTCTAACGCCTGAATCGGCTAGTTCAGATGACATTCACAGGCATCTTTTCGAATGGTATGCTCGGTTTGATATAGTAGCCGGCATTGTCTCGGGGAACGAAATGATTCTTGGACGAGATTGGTACATCACACGAGAGGAACATGACGCCAGGGAAGCTGCTAGCAATCCCG